TCGCCCTCGCGGGCGGCGCTGGTCGGCTTTGCACTCGATGCGGCTTCGGGGTGCTCGGATCTGGCCTCCGAAGAGACTGCTGTCTCAAGCACTGCCTTCTTGGCATCTGCACGGAGCTGATCTTCGTACTGCTGGGTTAGGGCCTTTCGGTCCTGGCTGCCGAGCATGACCCACATGTCAGACGGGATATCGGGAGGCCTTTTGGATCCGGCCTTCCTACGGACGAGCCGAACCCCATCCCACACATAGCCATCAGGTACTGGTGACCCATCAGGCATTATGCTCGGGTCGAATGCGCCGCCTTTGTCGGGCACGACAGGCTTGGTCTTCGCTTCGGATTTCTCCGATGCGGCGGGTTCCTCGATGTGGGCTTGCCCACGTTCCAACGGCACAGGATCATCTCGTGTTCTAGCACTGGCAACAGGTGGATGAGATGCAGGGTCTTTCAACAACCTCATCGGGAAGATGAACTCATCGGTCGGAAGCTCAATGCGCTTAGTTCGCTGTACCGTGAGGGACGCATGTTCGATATGGTAATCGAGCCCTTCTAGTTTTGCAACGAGGAACTCACCCTTCCATGCGAACCCAGGCTGAATATGGTACCCGAGAAACACGCCTTCATTCGATGTTGGCGAAGTCTTGCCTGCCTGATTGTCAGCTCGTGCAGGGTTGTTCCAGAACAGTATCTTTGCTCCGAAAGGTATCTCAGCTTCATCAAAGGTCTTGTTAAACCTGAGGTACCATGGCGAATCGTTTCCATTCAACTGTGGCAGGATGTTGGTCGCAACTGCATTATGCTGGATGGCAAATGGCCACATCGACAGTGGGAACCCTGACTGGACAAGGTTCGCACGTGCTCCCTCCAACAGATGTCTGATTTCCCTTTCCACGAAAGATTTGGAAGAATCAACATATTCAATGGAGGTCTGATGACGGTACCCCAACTGCTCTATTGCGGCTTTCAATTCCCGGGAGTTATCAGTGTAGAGAACCTCAACCTCATCCCTACCGGAAATGAAATGCTGGATCCCTGCAACGGATTGCTCCGTGCTTTTGCTGGTCGACGGGTAAACGTACCTGAACTGCGTATGCACGTCCTTGATCACAAGAGCACACCATTCACCTTTTATGCCTTGCTCGATGTTGGCCTTGAGAATCACATGATCAGCAATGATGTGATCTCCAAACGCTTTCGTCTCGAGCCTTCCCTGCCCGCCTTTCGATCTTGCATATGGGGCAAGCATCTTGGCACGTTGGCAAGTGCGGCAAAAGGGATTCTTCGGATAGTGTGCAAACAAGTGCTCTTTGGTACCTGCTTCGGCAACCAGATCTTGCTCTTTGCGGGATCTCACAAACCGCTCAACTTCGTCGTCGGGATCATCACCTTCGTCGATGCCTTCGTCATGAGCTGGCGCAGGCGCTGGCTTTGATGCTGCTACTGCACTCAACGATGGCTCAGCTTCACAACTAGAGTCCATGTATGGCACATGACCGTCAACCTTGAGCTGGATCAGAGCACCGTCAGGGCGGACCATGATTGGTGCCTTCCCGGATTCCCAATGAAAGGAATATCCTTGATCCAGACACTTCACACCCAGCGACAGCACTGCGGGAGAACTCTCGAGGATGTAAGGCTGAGCAGGCTCGCACAATGCATCGACATTGATGTCGGCGATCTCGGAAGCAGTGATGTTTCCGTTTGCAGTCACAAGGCGAATAGGCTGCGGGGCCTGTTTTCGGATTGCCTTGGACGCATTCCTCAGTGCAGCCTTGCTGATGAGGTCCTGCTCACTACCGGAATCAATGAGCCACACATCCTTTCCCTTTGGGGCAGGGGTGGCTGCCCTTGGCGCTTCGACATCCTTGCGAACATCGTGGGGCGGCATGGCAACTCTCAGGCACTCATCACACGATAGGCTTGAGATGGAATCAGATTCCACATCGCACATGAAACCGCAAGCGGGCTGGGCTCCATTCTCCATGGCTTTGACTACGGCATTCAACTGATTCGCGGCCTTGCGCGCTGCCTTGTTAGTCCCTTTGGTCGGCCTGGGGCAGTCCTTGGCACTTGGAAACATCCTATTGTACTGACGTTCCTCATACTCAAGCTTGAAACCATCGCCTTCGGCGGGGATTTCATGAACATGAGCATTGGTGTCGAATGACACTCCACTTGGGTTGATCGGCTTTGCGAACATGGCGTACCTGGTGCAGTCGCGGCTTTGGCCTTGGGCTTAGGCTTAGGTGAATTTGCACGCTTCTTAGCCGCAGGATTTGCATTGGCCTCGCTGCTCGATGCCGCGGCGGCAGATTTGCCGCCCGTGGAGGCATGGCTAAACTTGCATTTGTCACCTCTCGTGCACTTCCCTTGGGCGAAGAAAGAACACGGTGCTTTCTCTCCTTTACCGCCTTTGGGGGAACTTGGCCTGCCGCGGGTCGCGGAGCGTCCTCGCGGCTCCTTGCGGTGCGCGTAAGGGCAGTTTGCCCCCTCGTGCACGAGCCCTTCTGGAAGTCAAAACAGTACTTCTCCTCGGCGTCCTTCGGCTTAGGTGCGCTCTTTTTCTTGGGGTCCCTCTTTTCAGGGGCGGCAGCACCAGCCTTGGGCGTCGGAGCTTTACTGGCATTGACCTTGGACACGCGCTCTCGGTTCTCGCGGAGCCTATCCCTCTCGATTAGATCCCTCATGCAACGCATTAGGAAATCATACGATTTATTGGGATCATCATCACGGCAACGATCATATGTGTCGATGTCGTACCGCAACAGATGGCAGCTTCTCACTTGGCGAAGCAAGATATCTTTCAACACCTTTTCTTCCGGCGGCTTTTTCATGCCGGCGATCACGGAATCCCAAGCATTCAGGAAACGCTTGAGATCGATGATTCCTTCGCCGTGTCGCGAGACACGCAACAGGTCCTCCAAGGAGTAGAGGTTTCCGGCTTCTTCACTGGTCTTGAAATATTGGTCAAACATAAACAAGACCTGCCTTCCTCTCATGGCCTTTCCCTCCTTGGCACATTCTTCCTTTGCTGTTAGGATTCGCTGAGCCAGATCGCCTTTCGCTGAACGCGTGAGCGCTGCGAGAATCTTCGTGTCTAGGGTCACGAATTTTCCCGGTTCGCCGAGCTCCTCCAACAGCTTCTTCTTGTCCTCGCGATCAGACCAGACTTCCATGATCCAAGGCCAAGCCTCGTCTGGACGGTCAGATGCAGCGCGGACATCCTCACGAACCGATGTTTTCCATTCACGGTACGTTTCAGGAGTTGGCATCTCCTTGAATCGCAACGTCTCGCTTTCGCGGGTTCTGGGCTTTTCATCGTTCGTTTGGCCTTTTACTAACTTCATCAACATCTTGGCGAATGCTTCATTGCCGAGGTTGGGCCCGAGGCCGTCACCATCGTCTTCGTCACCATCGCCGTCGCCATCATCATCAGGTGGCGGACCGCCAGGAGGCTTGCCACCCTGCTTGCGGTCAGTTGACATTGGCCCCTGAGAGAATTGCAGGGGTGGAACCGGTGCACTTGTTTTCACCGGGGATCGGCTGCTACCTGATGGCTTTTCAGCTGGTCCTTGCGGATCGCGAGCATCTGCGGGCAGTGCTTCGCATTCGGCAGTTGGAATCACGCTAGGGGTATATTCATCCCCGTAACCGTCATAGGTAACAAGCGACCTCAACTTTTCCTTTGCATATTGAAACGGATGGGTGAGCGGGTCCAACATTGACCTTTGGGACCGAGCTGACTTCATGTCGTCGGTCATCAACTCTGGTGAATCCTCTCGGGTATCACCTACCCCTTTGGGCTTCGATCCATCCTCGCGGAGGTCGTGTTGCTTCTGATACTTCTTCAGCTCATCAAGCTCGTCCTGCAGAAGCCCGTTTTGGTGTGCCATCATGTCAACCGTTCTGGCGTGTGTAGCCTCGACACGGGCTGTGTCATCGGCATGCTTAGCAGCTTGCTCATGGAGGAGCTGCTGGGCTTCAGCCAGGGTGGATTCGATGGCTTGCCTAAACTCAGTTGTTTTGCGTCCCATTTCCGCTTCATGCAATGCTTGGGCATTTTCCTCACACACTTGGCTTATCCTAGCTTCAGCGAAGTTCACTTCTTGCATGAACTCATCGCTCACTCGCTGTTCGTATTCACGAATCCTATGCGACTGGGCTTGCACACATTCAGCGTAGTGTGCATGCAGCTGATTCTGTGCGGCACGGAGCTCCTCACGGTTTTCCGCTTGCAAATGCGTTACAGCTGCTTGATGCAGGGCTTCGGCTTCAGACCTAATGGCTGCATCATTCCCAAAAGCAAAGATTGCGGTATTGTACAGTTGAAGGGAATTCATCAGGGTGCGGTTGTATTGCGCATTAGCGCTTGATGCGAACATTCGCACACCGCCGCCGGTGGCGTTGCCGGAGCTAGCTCCGGCAGCATCCACAGGCATGCTGGATCCATCAACTGGCACAAGGGAACCGTCCATTGCTTAGAGCTAGGGGCCTACGGCTGATAACCTATAGATTCAAGGGTTACCGGTTTGGGGCCCAAAAGGAAACAACAAACCGTCCAAGTGCGCTGCTCGCACATTTTCACGCTTGAACAGCCACACTGCGGATGCAACGGATGTAAAACCCCAAACTGACCGATCAAATTCTTCAAAAACTACCCGCCAAGCGCCTTTTTGGTACCTTGCCCTGGGCCCTTTCTATTTTTTTGACCCCGAAAGAAAGACATGGCAGGTGAGAGCATTTCAACTCGACGCTTCAGCTTTCAGCTTTCAAGGCTCAAGGAATCTGGAAGTAAGAATATGGGGGCTTCAAATGGTGAACCAATGTGAACCACCTTTGGGGGAAAACACACACAAGAGAATCACGCGATCATGTCATGTGGGAACTTCTCAACATCGGAAAGAGTCCCCTAAAATGGACTGTTGGTTTCTTTTGGTTTCCTTTGACTGCCAGCCACAGTTGCCAAACCTGGCCAACCCACGTCCGTCCCCCGAAATCCGTCCTGTCTCGAAATCGCCGCTGCCCCACCACCTCGAGGTGAGTCGGAAAAACCAAATCGACGGACTCGGCTGTATCTCTGGTTGGACACTGTTGGAGCAGGACATCTTTCTGCATGCCACCAAAACGAGCCAAAACTCACGTAACCGTATAGCAAACCCAAAGCACGACCGCTAAACCAGCAGCACACCTAACACAAATCAGCTCCACGCGAACCCCAAACCCAAAAGTCAACCCGAAACCCACCCAACAGCAGACTGGATGTCAGCCCGTTGCTGAGCCTAAACAAACCCCAAACCAACCCAACTTCTAGGTCCTAGTGAGGCTGCCGGGGATGCGGCCAACCAACCAACCAACCACCCCTAGTTTCCCCCTGTCACAGACCAACTACATATACCCTGGTTCCCTCGTTCCTCTGGTTCCCCTGGCTCCCCTAGTCCCCTCAGGTTCCACTTTTTGAAGACCGCAGAGTTGAACCCAGGGGTGGTTAGTCCTTGAAGAGCTGCGATCTGGAAATCAGCGGAGTGCATGCTACTCCTGGCTGAAACGTACTAATGTACTTGAAGAGGATAAACACTATTTTTCCCGTGGCTCTCATGAACAAATCTTTGGATGCGGGTCAGCCTTTGTACAATCGTCATTTGGCCGAGGTGGATTTACTTCCGGGTGTCAGTTGTCAGTCAAATTCTGAAGGCAGCTTGGCGCATCCCAGCCGGCAGTGCGCACCACCCTCTGGCATTTGCCTCTGTTCGCACAAACCTGTTGCCTTATCCTGGGTTGGTACCGCTTGATCAAACATGTCCCTCCACGTATAGGGAGTGACAATCAAATCGCACAATTGTGGCTCGCTCATTTCCTGCTACCTGTATCTAGTGGTTGACTATGCTGCCTGACTGTTGCTAAATACCAGCCTAATTTTGACTGGGCACTCAATGCGCGGCTTTGAAATGGAAACAAGCATGAACTGAGTCCAAGAAAGTGGACAAATACCCCCCCCGTATTTTTGAATCCCCCCTCTCTGTGAGTTCTTGAAACGGCGGTGTCTGAGAGCCCTTCACACGTGGACTGCGATCCTTGCTCAGCCTTGCTCGGCCGGGCTTCGGGAATCCACCTTGCAATGCTGGCAAAAGACACGCTGCCTGGTTTTGGTTTTTGCAGCCCTCTAAACATGAACAGAACCAGGAGTCAAAAGAAAAAAACCTAAACACATGCCAGTGACTTGAAAGCCATGTGGATGATTCACCCGCCGTTTATTTGCTTTACGCCTCCTTGGGCCCAGACTCGCGGGCGTCATGAGCGTCGATATGCTCTGCCGCTAGGCCAGTCGCCCTGCGCGGAGAGTCCACAAAGAGCCACTCCACCCCGCCGATGGCGCCTTAGAGTCTGAAACGCTTGGATAGGGCAAAATTTGCGAGCCCTTTTTGTTGGCTGAACCTTGGATTGTTTGGAACATGAACAAACAAATGAATGGCGGACGGCGCGAAACAGGGATGTTCCTGGTTGGATTGTATCGGGAAACAGTGGGAAACCACCCCTTACAACCCGAATGGTGGGTGGGGGGGGTGGGGTGGGGTGGGGTGGGGTGGGGTGGGGTGGGGTGGGGTGGGGTGGGGTGGGGTGGGGTGGGGTGGGGTGGGGGGGTGGGGTGGGGTGGGGTGGGGTGGGGTGGGGTGGGGTGGGGTGGGGTGGGGTGGGGTGGGGTGGGGTGGGGTGGGGTGGGGGGGGGGGGGTGGGGTGGGGTGGGGTGGGGTGGGGTGGGGTGGGGTGGGGTGGGGTGGGGTGGGGTGGGGTGGGGTGGATGGATAGATGGATACATGGATGGTGGATGGATGGAGCGCAAGGCGCACATATAAGATAGCTGCGGGTCCACAAAGACCACTGCAAGCGTGAGGTGCCAGTGCCCTCCACTGTTCCTATCCATTCCACCCACGCTATACCCAGGATGGGTGTCCAAAAACTAGCTTAAGCTGCGAGGACCAGCCACGGCAGAGCTTTGTCAGCAGGCTGAAAATCATCAATATGATGGCAGTTTGGGCCTTGGAGCCTGATGTTAAGTTGTTCAGGGCAGCCAAAAACAAGTGAACCTTCTCAAAGCCTACCAATGATCCCCCAACGAAAGTGGATAGTCTTATTGGATGAACCAGGGAAAGATAGGGACCCCAAACGACCCCCTCAAAAATGGCTTGTCTCAACGCAGGAAACCTCTGATGTTGATTCAGGGGTCCCTTCAAAAGGAAATTCATCTTCCAAATGTAGATTGTTGTTTGGGGAAAAACCTGACATTGGTTCAACTGCGTCGAGGCGCGCTGGGAAAAACCCTGAAAACCCCAATGAACCCCCAAACCTGAAACCCCCGAAGAAGCGTCCAAAAGGCAATCTGCTGTTTCTGACACCCCCGAGATACTCTTCGCTTCCCAAGAGGGCACGGGACAATTGTCACCCTCTACATTGGGGTGAACTTGGTTGTACCAGGCCCTCTCCAAACCAACAGCACTCTGGCAGACCAACCAAGAATACAATACACCAGCCGCTAAAACGGAGATGCGAGTTTACAGAGAGTTCTACAACCTAAACTAGAAGCCAAAACTCATACGTACAAACATGTTGTTCTGGGCAAACTCCCACATTCCACCATTTGGAAACAATGAACTCCCAGGTAAGGAACCCTCATCACCGTGAAGTCGAAGTCTTAGGGGTAGTGGAAACTACCACAAATAGCTAGACGCACGGCTCACATCGGTGCTCGGCGCGCCCGGATGTGCCAACACCGTTCGGCAAAGGGACCTTTGGAACCGGATGCCTGGGAGCCATGGGCTGAACCCGTTCACGGTTTTTCGCCTGGGCACTGATCAATGGGCCCAGCTGTGCAGCAAGCGCGTCCTTGTTGGAGCGGAAGCCATGCCTGCGTTTCCGGGCTGAGAGAGAAACACCTCACGCCAGAAATGTTTGGCTTCCGATTGGCTTCCCTGGAAACCAAGCCCAAAGAAGGGTACACTCAACAAAAAGCCACCCCACAAAAACGGAAAAAAAGGCAACGCGCAAAACACACACAAACACATACGTTGTAGTGGCATCTGTTTGTGCGGAGGCTACCCATGTTTGGTGGTTCTCAAGGGAAACCAAAGGAAAACCGAAGCCAGCGTTGAGGGCCTCCGAAAAAGAAAAAGAAAAAAACACCCATTTCATGTTTTTTCAGAAGCCAAATGGGTCCGGCAATGTGTGTATTTATGTGCCAGACTGCAGGAAACAAGAGCGGACGGATGGTTAGCAGTTCGCTTCCTGGTCTTTGAGTTTAGCCGCAAGCAAAGCAGAAGCTAGGACTGCGAACATAGGACACCGGCAGTTGCCGGGGGACTTTCACGAAGTGCTTTTTGCTCTCTGACACAGATTTGTGGTGAGTCTGCCAATGTGACTCCGGACGCAACCGCCCACAGAAATGGAAGCACGAGTGGCACTGGGCAGCATGGGCTGTGAGAATCCGATGACTCGAATTTAGGATCAAGGATTGTCTTTTGTAGAGCCCCGCAAATGGGGTTCTTCATCAACTCCATAGCCACAGCCAAAATGACATCTTCTGGGTTGTGTGGGGAAAATGTTCGATTTTATTAGAGAACTGGTAACCTTGATCAAACCTCATATACGCAAGGACCTTCAGAAGTCATGTGACAGCATCGGATTCTGGCTGATGTATGACCCTAATACTTCACCAAGACGCAGGGTTCAGGTGTCATACTCACAGGCTGAACGATGAACCCTTCCACTACCTCAACTGGTTGGCTTGTTCTCAAAACAGCGTGCGCAAGATTGCAGCAAACGCGCACGCCAAAACAAACATTGATTTTGATGATGCCAAGCACTACAACGTCACGGGTAGCAAACAACTTCCATGGCAAACACATACCATTTAACATCTAGCTTGATGACAGTCACCAAGGCCTCTCTCTCAACACGTTGCACATGTTCATTTCTTGGATGGTACAATCTGCCCAGTTCATAACTAAGTCTTTCAACATCAGGCACGTGTCGGGAAAACCGTTTGGTTCGCTGCCAGGAAGCAAACACACCGCTTTCGGCCGTGACAGCTGCGACCTCGACGGCGCAAAGAACAACCAAGAAAATGGAACGCGGGCCGGCTGAACCTGGGGTGCCCTGAAGTTACATAAAAAGCTCCGTGGGTTTGTCTCAAAATAGAAATCAGAACTCCCAACATGGTTGGGTTCCTTTTTGTTTCTCCAAGGTGAACAGGATAATTACCCAAAAGAACGAACACACACACACACATTGGGCCGGAGTGTTGGCTTTGACAAAATAATTTCTTTGCTCTTTTGAAGAAGACACCAACATCAAGCTGGCAACTTTCGCTGGCGGTTTCAGTTTGTCGGGCCATCAGCAGGGCTCGCAGCTCCCCTGCTTGACACTGCAATTGGCAAGACCCCGCAGTCGCTTGGAATGAGACTGGCCGGGTGTACGCATGTCTCGCATGCCAATTAACAAGACATCTTCGAGGCCGGCATGCGGGTTTGCTGCACTTCATTTGCTGTGAACCCAAAGAAGATGAAATCACCTGGAGGCTGGCACATCCATCGCAAAAGCAAAGCTGCCCCCGGGTATTTCGTTTGTTTAGCTCATCCTGGCTGGGTCAACCCGTGAAAAGGCAGGGGACATACAGGTATCGTCAAAGGGGTTTGCGGTTGGGTTCAAGGGAAACTGGGAAACATGGGCACTCTCGTTGTTCCTTTAAAACTGCTCCACGTAAACCAGCCGCAACCTGGACCGTTCAAAATGAAGGGCTGGCCAGTACAATTTTCCTGAACCCCAAGAAAAGGAATTCAAAGTTAAATTTAAGAACCAGGGGGGGGGAGGATTGAAATAAACCACTCCGAAGTTGGTGATACTTCTTAGACAACCTTGGGCTGCCCTGAGTACGTGCTTGCAAGCAAAGCCGCTGTGGACCTCCCGACAATGCCTGCAGGAGCCGTCCTCGGTGCCAGGATTGTGTGAACAAAGCACCACAACTTGGACTTTTTTCAAGCAACGGACACTACTAGTGATGGAGGCAATCTTGACGGAGAAAAACAAAGCCTCAGGCTTCCGCCTGTCACAGCTTTCCTTGTCACAGCTGTCCTGGTCCGGCCACGGGAGGGTCAGGCTTCTGAGTATCACGGCTGTCAGTTCAGTTCCTGTCACAGCTATGAAGGACGTGAAGGTCAGGGCAATGTCAGCGACGTCGAAACAAGCTGCGTCACAGCTGTCATGCGGCGCCGGCGATCGTTAAACATCTTTCAGCCTCAAACCTGCGAGTGAGGCAAGGCAAGCCTGAGGCGCCTGAGGCGCCTGAGGCTTGGGAACATGTCTCCCATCCATCCTGCTGCGCTTCTGTTCACCGCTGTCATGCTTGTCTGAGCAGGCATCAACCATCACAGTCACGAGCCGGCTTCAGACTTTCACAGTCCTTTCCTGTCACAGTTGCCTGTCACAATCAGGCTCTGTCGCAACTGTCTCAGCTGACATTCGACACCAGGTGGGCCGGTGGGATGCGAACTCCAAGCGTGTCGGGTGCGGAAGAAGTACCCCCCCCCCCGGCCCCTTTGATGCATGACCGGCAGAGCAACCTGCGTCCAAGTCTCGTGGCGTCGGGTTGTCCATGAGGTCCGCTACCGATATCACCTCGGGCACCCCCTTCCTTTCAACGTGGCAACATGGATTGAGCAGCATGGTCTTGAAAGCAAGTTTTGCTTTGAAAGAAATATCTGCGGCCTAAGGGATCCCGCATGCACGACGCAGGGTTCCTACATACCACACCCTGACTTGTTGGGGTCCCAAAACGAAAGGAGCGGGCAATCAAATCCAAAACAAACAAAGGCGGCCACACTGCCAAGTCGTGATGCCAAAGATCACGAGCTGCTGTCTTTGTTTTTGCCAAGGTGGGCAATGGAGATTGTCTTTTCGGGGCCCTTTCAAATGGGCGCGTTTTGGGGTGGTTCCCGTTTTCTGGTGAGTTTGCAGGACACATCCATCGTTTTAACAGGCCCCCCTCATTTCGACACAGCTAAATCATGAACCAGGTTTCCAACCGGGTAGCCTGGCCATTGGTAACAGTGGCATACTGTCCAATCCTCTTCCCTGCTTGCTTTTGCTCAACGGGTTCAGGAACAAACACACCCCGCCACGAGGACACTCACTTTTGGCCCAAAACGTGGTCCTGAAAAAACCGGGCAATCCCCGCCTTGCTGACATTCGAGGATAGTCTCCGGGCCAAGGAAATCAAGCTGAGCGAGTCCAAGCCTCACGAGTGTCGTGTGTTGCTCCTTTGGCTACCAAGCTTGATGAAAGATGCGCATACCCCGCTTTAATCGGCCCATGCCACCTGAAAGTGTGAACTAAGAATATGGCACACACACACATGTATATATGTATATATACACATATATTGTCGGGGGTGCGACAAGAGTTTGCTAGGATGCCTTAGTCACATTTTTGGATCGGTCACCGATTACAGCTTCACTACCTCATACTCCGCCATGTCGTGAAGATGTCGGAGTGCTTCCAGCGCATGTTGCATGCGGATTTGGCCATTCTGGATTCGGTAGTCTTGCTCAGCAGATTCTTCTGCTTTCCCTGTGTGTCTTTGACACTGACAACGTGCCGCTTCAGATTCAACATCGTTAGTGCGTGAACCGTCACTAGCTCGGAATCGCTTTTGGCGGTTGCATGTCTTCAAGGGCATTTCACTTTAAGGTATAGTATTTGATTCCCTTGAACCACTGTTATCGCGAAACCTTGAACGCAAAGAGCCAAATGCTTAGGCAAGCAAACGCTAATGACAACATACTGCAAGAAGAGGACGCCATAGCCATGTGTTCTTCACGAATGCCAGATCCAGATCTAACTGAAAGACTTCCCACGCCATAGCAGTCCCCACTTCAATTACCTTAAGGCTTCTTGGTTCAAAGTCGCATTGACATCAGACGCAGTTCGAGGGTCTAACAAAGATTCCTTTTGGCAACAGGCAACCCCTGGCCAACTTTCAACACGAGCGATTTTTGCTTGGTCTCGCAAACCATAGGACGGGCGCTCTACTTCAACCACACACAGATTCCTTGTGGTTGTGTATCTTGTTTAACGGTGCCCTTTTCAGCCTGGGTTAACAGGACATTAACAGGAAAACCAGCCGTTTTGGGAACGCATATCCTTGTGCCTACAAGCACGCAAGGGACAGGCAACGTTGAACGAAAGATCCCCAAATTGCCATGGAGTCTGCCTGGCGAGCGGAGCAGGCCTGCATCTTCGAAGGTGGTGTCCATTTCAATGGGGCCCGCCATCTCCTCTACGATGCTCAGCAACCATCCACCTGAAGCGGCTACGTGTACCAAAAGACATGTCCCATGCAACAATGCAACAATGCAACAAACAGCCAAGGCAACCCTGGCCCCCAACGTGCCAAGTATCTAAACCAAATTGACCCGTGCAAGTATGCAACACAAGGTGACGCCAAGACATGTGTACCAATGTGCTTGAAAACGCCAGAGTACCCTACTCAGGTGTATGATCATGCGTTGCGACCGCATCTAAGCATCTCGCTTAAATCTCCGATGGGCTCTTCTTCTGAAGCACGGATGAATCCTTGGCGAAGGCGCAAATCCGCAGTCCGGTGAAACTTCTTAGGTCATGGTCCATTGTCTTAATGAAGCTTGCTTGCTCTCAAGATGGAAGCGGAATCGTGCAAGGACAGGCATCAGACTGCGAGCGGCCAGAGCGAACTCCCATGCCGTACACGGGATGGCACAGAGCCGCGCCAACTGCTATCCCCGTCAAGACATCAAGACACATGCCTTAGAAGCGCGGCACGTGCACGCGCGTTAAGTCACATCAGCGCGCGTGGCATGCGCGCTCTTCCATCCCGCCGGAACGAGGCCCGAACGAGGCCCCCCCAACTGGCAAATGTGAGGTGTACCACTTTTGGTTGCCTGTCTCCCTCCATGCCTGCCTCCCTTTCTTGTTTGACAAGCTATGGAATATTCTTGTTTAGGGATCAGCGGGCATCCCCCATGGCACACCTCCAAAACCAAACACGGAACCGGTTCAGTGCCACTGGAACGCAAGTCACAGCATCTGGAAAATTAAAGCAGATCGAACAAAGAAACCAAGCGGCCACGCTGATGGGACTCCACCCGCTCCTTTGAACCTATTGAGCCCATTGCCCTTCTGCCACCTAAGTTTGGCACGAGGAATCCTCACATTTTTCAAGCGATTTGTCCAGCCCTGAGTGAGCAAATGATCGTTGTGCCCCAAATTCTAAAAACCTGAGACAAGAACTGTATCCCAAATCCCAAGCAAAACGGCGATTGTGCTGCTCGCTCATTTTACCCTGCGCCAAAGCCGTTACAGATTCCGAGGATCCTCCCAGCTTGAGCCACTCATCCAGAGAGTTCACCGGCTCCCAACGAGGCAGCCACACGCAAGTGGCCTGGCGCTTTGATCGGCTTTGATCAGAAAGCGAGCCTTTTCTGACACGGGGGCACTTGGGTCTTCAATTCGCCAAGTGCTTGGATGATTATACATCACAAACAAGGTTAACTGCACTTAGGGGCACTGAGAAGTGGGTTATAACCCTTCTTGTAGGTTACCAACTTATTGACTTGGCCGAACACCCAAGTATCCATTTTGAATTGAGGACACCTGTTGAATTCTTCGGCAAGCAACAGGAACCTGGAGGCATTTTGAGGCAATCAGTTTCTAACTTTGGATAACCCAAAGACAGTTCACGCGGCTGTCAAAAAGCGCTTGCACCCTTCCAAATTGCCGGGGAAACACGATTTCCACCGACAAAACCCTTTGTTGTGCCGGTTCATCATGTTTCATCCCTACTAGAATGTTCGAACACCCCTCTCCCCCCCTCCCCAAGGCAAAACGACATGGCAAGGGCCAATCAAACTCCCTCGCTTCGCTTCCGGTCGCCTAAGGAGCCCCTTTCGAAAGCTTGGTCTCCGGAAGTCGCAACGAGCTTCGTTTCCTGGCGAAGCTAACCGACCCCAAAAAGGGAAGCCTCCAAGAAAGACAGGCATATGCCACAAGGCATGGACAATCAGAAACAAGCTGACCTGGCACAGCTTCTGTGCAAGCTACATAAGCCCAGTCCGCGATATATGCACATGCCCATTTTGCACAATGAATCGCCATCCCGCTGTGTCCCTCTTACAAGGTTCTATACTTTCACCGTCAACACACCCAAAGGACACCCCGTCTCAAAAAAGAGGGGGCTATGAGGAGCCCTATTTCAGTGGTGAGATCTGGATCCCTGCCTTGCAAGGACCTGCCCTCGACAAGTTGGGTTTCTTTTTTGGGAGACACTTTCGAAGCAAGGCAAAAGGACACCACCAGTTTTGAGACAAACCCGCATGGAGCTAAACAAATGGCGGGGGGGCGGGGGTATCCCAAAAGGAGATTCCTTCGAGCCCGGTCGTTGGGTTCTGTGTCACTCGGACGGGTGCTCCCACCTAGGAAGGAACCCTGGCAAAAGGAAAAGTAGACTGAAACCGATCTGGGCATCTCTCAAATGTTGCTCCCCACCAGATCCGACGGCACCTCCGGGCAAAGCTCTCTGGCCATCGTTGCCACTGCACCCGAGGCTGTGAGAACCTCGAGGCCGTCGAGCCAACCCAACGCCCCTTGCGGGAGCCATAAACTGAAATTTGCAAGGGAACGAGGGAAACTCTGCAAACTCCCTTTGTGGTTGGTTTACTGAAAAGAGACTATTCAGGGCATCCAGCGTACCATGGTTGCAACTGAAAAATCAACTTTGAAATGTTCGTTGCCAAGTGTAGTGGCCAAGATTGTGGTTGATCTCACCAAGTTTGTCTGGATTCGTCTCGTCAGGTTGAAGACCATCCGCAATCCCAGGCAACCGGACGTTGGATCGCACCACAGCGCACCGTATCCCCCGCAAAAGTCAGTTTGCTCTGGTTCACTTAGCCCGGAAGTTTTGTAGACCAGTCACATGAGCCCCGAAAACCCAGTGATCCTTGCGATGACAAGAAGGCTTTAGCAATTTTAACTATAAGACCCCCCGCCAAACACTACATCCTTGCAGCAACAGGCTAACAGAATGGCAAGGACTTGTTGCTTTCTTTTGAGCACGCTTACTTGTAAGCAGCCAAATTAAGTTCTGGTCCAAAGTCTGACATCTGCGGGTCCAATAGGCTGTAGGAAGAATCCCAATAGAATAACCTTGACTGGAAAGCTTTAAAGCAAATCTTAACTATCAATCCCAATTGACTTGATCGATTTCTCTCTTGCTCAAGGACACGCCATGGAAGCCTACATCGCCGTATCTAATGGGGGCGAGTACACCCTGTTTTCACACAGAGGTTACCGAGTGTGGGGTGTGGGCTGCCGAATAAATCGGGCAACTTATATTGATAGGCCAAATCCCGTGTTGTACAACGGTTGGGGCGTGGAGAACCATCCTCTGTGTCACCTGTGGCAACCGCTTGTGCTTAGCGAGGAACTTGTTTGGTTTATCGTCCAACAAACAAGCAACAACACACGTTCCTCTTTGGCCTCGCAACTCATGTACTCCAACTCTAGTCATTCCTCATTTGGAATTTACTCCAAAGGGAAATGGGACTTCAGGGGCCTGGTCACAGCTGTTGTGGAAACATATCCTCTTACAGTGATGCCAAAGTAGTTGCATCTTCACAACTACTTCAACCCTTGGCCACGGGCAAGCTGCCTAACATCTCCATTTGCCACATCCCATGCACTCCAGGGCATGGGAAATTTGGCGGTCCATATGTGTGTCCGCCGCTTGCACGCAACCCCTCCATTGCGTTTTGCTCCCTGGACACAAACATAGAACCTATGTCCAGTAGTGATAGATTCTCTTTTAAAACCAAAAAGGGGCAATAACCACCTATTGTTTTGTTTTGTTTGGTTTTGTTCAACAATTGTTCTTTCTTTCCTTACTTGCTTTTTCTTATTTAATTGGCTGTGTTTGTTTAGTTCTTCGTCAGCAAATGGCAGACTTCCCTCGGATATTTTTTGGGGCCGAAGTGGCCATGCGGGCGTTGGGCGCCAGCAGCTCCTCGCTGGCGTCTGCCAGCTGCGGGACGCAGTGCACGCCCCCAGCGCCTGAGACGACTGCGAAGCCCAGGTGTTTGGGGGGCCCAGAGGTCTGACTAGGGGTCTGAGAGGTTTGAGGGTAAGAGGTCTGAGGGGAAAGGCTAGGGAAAGACCAGAAAAGGGGGCAAACTAGGGGAACCAGGGGTTGCAGGAGGGGAAGGAACCAGGGTCTCAGATGGTAAGGAGTCTCACAAAAACAAGAGTGTCAGGCGAACCAGGCGTCTAGGGGAACGAGGCTTAGCTTCTGAGTCAGCCCTCTGGTCTTAACGCGGGGGGGGGGGGGGTCGAAGGGCGAGATTCCCCTTTTGGACTAGCCCAAAATAGACTTAAACTCAGGGGGTCTCCTTTTGGGGGGAATGAACCACCCCTGGGTTCAACCCTGGGGTATAAAAAAAGGGGACTAGGGGAACCAGGAAAAGTAGGGGAACGAGGGAAACCAGGGGTATATATATATATATATGAGTGTATATACGTGTATATATACATATATATATATATTAAATATGTATAGTTGCTCTGTGAAAGCGGGGGAAAGGGGGGGGCACCCAAAGCCTGGCACCAAGCAGAAATGGGAAGGCGTAACCACGCCCCTCTTCAGCGCAAACGCCAATCCATTGGATCAAGCAAAGTTGACATGTTTGCTGAAACTTACATTCCAACGAATGATGACTTGACAATGGGCGTTCAAACGGAAAAAAAAGGGCAACCGGCTCCGCATTCCCCCCCTCCGCCCTCCCCAATTCACTGAACAACATGATCAGACTGGAACCAAACTCTGCGACCAAAGGCAATCCGGAAATGAAACGCAGCCATTGAATGCGACACTATCCCACTCCTCATGTTTTTCCAAGCAACACACGGCTCACAAGCAACCACATGCATCCCCAGAAAACCACCCGAGCCTTCGTCCATGCCATACTTCGCCTTCAGGGCTTGCGAGGCAAAGTCCTGAGCAAAAACGTTGGCCCCGGGTGTGCAGGACCACAAAAGCCGCGGGCTCAAGCCAATTTCTTTACCTGCTTGCCTTGATTTGCCTTGACTGCCATTACTCTTGCTTGCCTGCTTGTCTGCTTGTCGGCTTGCAAGTTTGCTGGGCTTCACTGTCTAGCTGGCTGGCTGGCTGGCTGGCTGGCTGGCTGGCTGGCTGGCTGGCTGATCGATTGATTGATTGACTGACTGACTGACTGAATTGATTGATTGATTGATTGATTGATTGATTGATCGATCGATCGATTGATTGATAGACTCATTGACTCATTGACTGCTTGATTGATCGATCGATTGATTGATTGATTGATTGATTGATTGGTTGATTGGTTGATTGGTCCATTGCTTGATTGTACATTTCTTGTTTTCTTTGAGTGGGTGAGTGATTTCGTGCCTGCCAGCCTGCCTGCCTGCCTGCATGCCTACTTGTTTGCTGCTAAGCAAGCATGCACGTGTCTACTAGGGTGTGTGTGTGTGTGTGTGTCTGTGTGTGTCTGTGTGTCTGTGTGTGTCTGTGTTCTGTGTGTCTCTGTGTATCTCTGTGTGTCTCTGTCTCTCTCTGTGTGTCTCTGTGTGTCTCTGTGTGTGTGTGTCTCTGTGTGTCTCTGTGTGTCTCTGTGTGGCTCTGTCTCTCTCTGTGTGTCTCTGTGTGGCTCTGTGTGGCTCTGTGTGGCTCTGTGTGGCTCTGTGTGTGTGTGTGTGTGTGTGTGTCTGTGTGTCTGTGTCTGTGTGTCTGTGTCTGTGTGTCTGTGTCTGTGTGTCTGTGTCTGTGTGTCTGTGTCTGTGTGTCTCTGTGTGTCTCTGTGTCTCTGTGTGTCTGTATCTGTGTCAGTCTGTGTCTGTCTCTGTTTGTGTGGTGGTATTGCTTGTGCCAGTGTGTGTGTGTGTCTACGTGCGCGCCTCCGTGTGGCCATCACTCCCTCAACAAGGATCCATCCCTAGGGTCATTCCCGAACCCCTTAGCAAGACGATGATTGACGAGACCCCGGCCAAAAAGTTCACGGCGGCTTCACACACGAGCGCCCGCCTGCTAGTTTGGTCGAACTTCGGCCTTCCGCTTGTTTCAGGAGCCACCTTGCAAATATCGAACTTCGACCTTCCGTTGGGCGCCACCTTTGGTTTTTGGCAAAAATGGTCCAGTATGCTGGACTTCCAGAACTGGAAAGGCACGGCTAGGACCTGCAGCCATGAGCTCGTTTGACTCCTCCACCACCTCGATCTGGATTTTAATACCGCAGGTGACTAACTTTTTGGCAGAGAAATACGGAAACCCAACCACCAAACGCCAAAAAGGCCCCAAAACGCTAAACAGCCAAGGAACCACATGGCTGGGAGCGACCCACAGTGGAAATGGCGCAAAACACACACAGAGACCGAGAAAAGCCGAGCTTACGCATGCTTCTCGTGCGAGCTGCGGCTGGCGGCCGCAAGATTCTGCTGGGCCGGGCTGGCTGCACTGCCACATCCTCAACGGACACCAGGATCTTGCCGATGTGGACACCCTTGGCGAAGAAGTTCAGGGCACCTAGCGCTGGTGCCATGGAGGTTCACATGTACGATGTTCACCGAAAAAAAAAGCGTTCGAGAGCGCAATTTTGATGGGAGGGTGATGCATTCTTGCTGCTGCTCTGGAATGACCGTTCCGGGTGTTGGGAATGAACCGGCAGGGAATTCCCTGAAAGGAACCACAAGGGATGGTCTCGGGGTCATTCCGTTTCTCATTCTCTACAGAGAACGGAGACACAGGTTGCTTCGCAGAGCTGGATACGCCCCTGAGGTGACCCCCCCAAATGAAACAAATCATGTCCTGGCCGAAGGGAAACTCATCGCAACAAACCACCCCAGGCTTCCCCATTGTTTGAGTTTGGGGCAGCCAAAAAGTGAAACGCCAAAGAAGCAGGGGTCACTGGATTGTTTTTGCAGGGTCCAACATGTACAAAACAAAAAGAGAGAGATCCCATTTTTTTGGCTCGGAAGCCCCGGGGGGAAATGGTATCTTGCTGGTGCTCAGTAGGGAATGAAGGAATGAACCCATGGGTCCCCTCAAAGGAAACCACAAGGGCTGGTTTATCTCGGGGTCATACCGTTTCTCATTCCCTACTGAGCACCCCCATTCTTCTTTTTAAATTCCGTCCATCTATCCGATTTTTAGTCTATTTTAGTAGAGGAACCCTCCCCCAAAAAAGGGTGAGAGGGCGGGCACTACTGGGGGACCTAGCCAACTTGTTTAAATTCCATCCATCCGATTCGTCGGCTCGCGCCTTGCAGGTCCGACATGGGGAAGGTCCTGCTGGGCAGCCGCGGCAGGCCGGGCATCTCGGCCCAGACCTCGACGCACCGATAAAAGAATTCCGCTGCGACGGATCAACAAGCCGCCAACCAAAAAACACTTCTTCGCGCCGGATGAAGAGGGGTTTATTCATGGGATTTGCGAACCAGTTGTGTTTCTTTTTCTCTTTTTGTATTATGTTTTTCTTTTCATGTCCTTACGCAAATGTATGACATGTGCATGGTTGGTAGAAAACACCAAGGAACACGATGGAGTTGGTCAACAATGTAACGTAGGTCTGGAATTGAAAACATGGAAACATGCTTGCCAGTCACCGCTTCTCCAGTGCACCAAGAACTTCAGGCCTGTAGTCCATATCCCCCGCCCCAGCTCTTGGACCCGCGTCTCTCCGATGAGATGGGTAAAACAAGAGAATCCCAAGGGGTCCGCCCCATGGAACCGTAAAATGACACGAGGATGGAAGTCTATGGCATTCCGCAAACTGGATCTGAGTCCACTTAAGGCCCCCCGATGGAACCAAACATAAACATGGCCCTCCAACAGATGTTTCACTGTATATGTGTCTGCCCCAGGTCCATTTAAACGGGACCACAAAATGGACGAACTCCTAATATTTCTCATTTGGGTCTAAATTTTAATCAGGGACCCTGTGGTGGACATCAAACATTGGTGGGGGTCTGCCAGACGCTCCCGATCAATATAGGGCCCTCAAACAGCCAAGTTTTGAGACCCCCAACCACCTCCGGGGTGTCTACTGGAAATGCCGTGGGGTATTTTCTCCAGCCGAAGCCGATCAGAATCAAAGCCTCTGGGTTCAGCCAAAAGTGCTTCGGCTTGGGCAGGGCTGTGGGAAATGGAATCCACTTCTGTGATACAACAGAAAGGGCTTCCCAAAGACTAACCCCCCATATAAAGGGAGAGATTCCCTTGCATCACAAAAGTGGGGACAAACCCCCTGATCCCACAACCCTGGGCTTGGGCGTTTGAATCGGGCCTCCTGTAAAAGCTTGGCGCACTTCTCCGGGCGCTTCAGCATGAGCACGTCGAAGTGGGCTGCGGAGAAGGAGATGCCTGCGCCGAGTTTGGTTTCGTCGCCGACCCGTAGGGGTGACGCCGCTAGAAGCCAGGGCGGCGGTTGAAAGACCAAGCCCCCCAAAACGAGGGGATGCGCTGGTATCACAGTGGTATATACCCGGAGTGATCCCACTGATTGAAACTCAGAGGCAACTTGCTCAGGGGATCAAAATTTTCGACACCTTTGGATATGGCCGTCTCGGATCGCTTAGGAAATCACCGCTTGGATGGTTCCGGGTTCCCAGAATTCCTGAGCAGCGAGGTGTGCTGCCCCGGAAGAATCGGAGAAGGAAACAGTGGCCCTGTTCTGGGTCGATGTCGAAGGCAACATCATCGACTTTGTTTTTGTCTGCTGGATGAAAGTTGGGCCCGACTCTGACACCATCCGCTCAAAATGTCCGGGGCTTCAGCATGGCCCTTTCAAGCACAATGTGTCGCATTCCAGCGGGAACTCTTTGGGACCACCCCGAAGAAGAATTCGCTTCGTCCGAGTCCGGGTCGACCTTATGTGTTTGTTCCAGCACGATTCTGGGAGAATAGGACATGGGCCAGGGGTGCGGCTTTGTTTAGGCGCCCCCTCTTCTGGTTGTGGAAAAAAAAACCAGGAGCACCGCCGCCGCTTTGGGTTTCCCCCACCTTTCAGAAACTGGCCGAGGCCCAGCTGAGTGTTCTCATACTGGTCTCGCTTGCCGATCTCCAGGAAGCGCCCAAACTCCCGCAGCCTTGGATCGAAGGCAACCCCGCGCAAAGAGGGCGCTCTGTACTCAATACACTCTCTTTGAAACACGTCAAAGATCTGAACTTCCGACTGGCGCAAGCCCCAAGCCAAGATGAAGCACGGATGTTACTCCGTCCCCCTCCAAACATGGGACAGTTGGAAGCTCTGGACGGGACTTGGCTTATAGTTGATCAATGCCATCCCCGGGGATGACAATAGACTACCATTTCCATGGATGTGGCTGGCCACTCAAATCTGGGCTGTTCAAATGGAGGATTGGCCAACCCTCCAGAATCCCTCTAGGGAAGCCACTACAAAGGGGACCGGGATTGAGGATTCCCTTTGAACAGCCCAGAAAAAATGGGCTTCCAAAAAAAAACGTAGGTCCAAAGCTGGTTGGCAGTGAGACCCTTGGCTTCCTCGTTTGATCCAATGGGAAAGCCATGGGCTGCCGCGGCGCAGGCGGAAGGACGCCAAGATGGCCTCGCCGCTGAGGGAGTTCAGCACAACGTCCACGCCCTCACCCTTCGTGGCCTCGAGAGAAAGGGAGTCCGGGCAACAGGGAGAAAACATACGCGGCGGGGAAGGGGGGGTGGGTGGGGTGGGTGGGTGGGTGTCTTTTTTGAGCCTCGGGCCATGAGAGTCCGCTAAAAGAAAGAACCACAGCCACATGGGTGTGGTTACCTTTTTTGAGGTTCGGGTCCCACGTTTGTGTTTTTGGCAACCCAAAAGGAAAACCAGCATTTCAGGCTGTCAAGCAAATCCAAAAGGAAAAGGGAAAGCACCATTTCAGGTTGTCAAGGAAGCCCTTAGAGGGAAAACAATGACATTTTTTGGCAGGTGGGTTGAATTCTGGGGAAAGGACAGCCACGAATCTTGGGCTTCCGAATCCGAGAACCGTCGCCTCCAAGATGCCATCCTCGAACTCTTTGGGCTTCCGGGAGTTGAAGGCTGTCGCCCCCAGCGACTCCAAGAGCCGCTTCTTCTCCTATGGAGAAAAACATAAAGCTTTGCTTTGGTCACTGAGAGAGAGGAACCAATTTGAGAAATTTGAAGGCTTGGCTTTGGACAAGCAGTAAGGTTCCAACAAATATAGGGGGTAGTGACGGGGGTCGTGCCAGATCTAGCCGTTTTTGTGTGCTGGGGCGGCCATGACCAAAACAAGAATCAACATAAGTGATAAGCCAACCATTTGTAAGTGTGCAAAAACCATTTGGTGACTTGTCAAAACTGTGGACTTTCTCTGCACCTCCTATCAAGTACGCACACGTGGAAGTTGTCTGCAAAAGAAAGAGGGGCCTAGATGGACACTTCCCTGGAAAACCGACATCACTCAAAGATGCCCTTTTGCTACTGAATTATTTTGGGTGCCCAAGCGTTTAACGGGGCTTATGACGATGCCTTGGGGAGCACACAGCAAGGGACCTTCACACAACTTGACTGGCGAACACAACACTCAACACATAACAGAAAGCAGGTCCGCCAAAGAACAATACCCATGACAGCGATCGTCATTGAGGCCCTTGTGAGCATTTAGCCGTTGGACAGGACGTCCCCGTGTGACGCTTCCCCAAGAGGACATGACATGGGACAATTGGATGGCCCCCTGCACCACTTGTCTGCATGTACCCGAGCTATTGCAAGATGGAGGGTGCAAAACATCGCCTGGATCTTGTGGCATTTTGGGCCGCCCTAAAATGACCTCCCCAAACTCACGACAGTCAGTCCACTCATTTTGGGCCCCTTGGACTCACAGCCAAGGGGCCATTCCCCAAAGTGAGAAGTTGATACACTGACTGGGCTCGAATGTCGCCAACACGAGGTTCAAATATGCGAACATTTAGGGACCCCTGCGCCAGATTTCAGGTTTCCAGTTTTCATGGAAAAACTCCGAAGGCCTATTCCCTCCTTCACTCCCATTCTTGGGGCATGAATGTCGAAATCCCAAAATTCCCGGTTGTCTCTGCATTCGAACATTTCACCCGACTGCAATTCAGGCATGGACCAGAGAGGTCCCTGGGTCCTCTGTGGAGGCTGTGGCATAGATCTCGCACCCCACCTGCCGAACTGCCGAAACCATCCAACGGTTTTTAGCGAGTGTACGAATGGATGCAAGTATGTATATACGGTACGTGATATACACCTATATATCTATATATATATATACACGTAATATATTATTCAATGAGTGACATCTGTGCTGTACTTGGCATGAACCAGCTCATCGTACTTTCCGCACTAACCTTCGCCGCATCTTTTCCATCGCTTCCGGGAACAGAAGCAGCCACACAGTTCTGGAGAAGCGTTTTTCCGACGCCTGCGGCAAGCCACCCGCAACTGCAACTGGATCTCAAGTGGTAATAGTTCTTTGCGACCCACAGGAGCTTTCATGGTTTCAACCAGGTGATGTAAAGCAACATCTCTCAGGGTATCTCCTTGCTGCTACGGCCCTGCGAGCTTCAGATTCCAAGCATGGATCCCCCTCGGGATCCAAAAGGTTGAAGAAAACATCGCCAGGGTGAGGCCGAAACCGATTCTTCATGCCCAAAGCGTCACCCCGACAAATCCGGCAAGACTTAACATGGACGGTGAGCGAAAGCAATTCTAAGCTCAAGCAAGATCGTTGTGTTGCTCCTTGTCAGACCAGGGAACCAAGCGGAAGAGATGAATCCAGCATCCCGTGACGGCACCCTTGGTTGCAAGTTATGTTGGGTATTTATGAAGCTCTCAGGGGCTGGGGATGAAATACCCCAGAAATTGCTTTCCCGTGAGAGTGTCTTTCTCCTTGCGGTAGAAGTGCAGAACAGCTTAGATGCTGCCGTTTCCGTTGCCTTCTTGCACAGGTGCACGGCTGCCAAACCAACTCCCCCAGCGGCACTGTGAATCAGCACCTCGAGTCGATGGGGCGGATTTTCATGTCCAAAGCTGGGAAATACCTGTGGATAGTGGTTCAACGGAATCCACACGAGACGCGACTGTTGAGGTGCCACACACACACACACATACATAAACGCACTTAAACACAAACATGTCAAAACCAACACGGACCCAAACACACGTAAAAGCACACGCACAAGTGCAAACACAGACACAAACACAAGTAAAACACAACGCAAGCAGAAACACAAGTATAACCACAAGCACAAGCACAAGCACAAATACAAACACAAGCACTAAAACAAACACAACACAAGCACAAGCGCAAGCACAAACACAAGCGCAAGCGTAAGCACAAACACAAGCACAAGTACAAGCACAAGCCCAAGAGGAAGCACAAGCGCAAGCACAAGCGCAAGCCCAAGCACAAACACAAGTACGAGCCCAAGCAAGCACAAGAACAAGTAAAAGCACAAGCACAAGCACAAACACAAGCAGAAGTGAAAACACAAGCATAAGCACAAGCAAAAGAACTCAGTTTGCTGGCAAATGGAAAAAAACACCCATGGAAAGAAAGAACAACTTAAAAGCATGAGATGACGGGTGATCCGAAAGCAGAGTAACAAGTTGTCTGCGCCTGGGACCTTTGCTCACAACTATGTCTAAAGTGAGTTGATCGGTCACTACGCATCTAATGAGAAATTGCTCGATTTGTCACAGGGCTGTGGGGAATGACCACTTCTGTGACACAGCAGAAAGGGCTTCCCAAAGACTAGTTTGTTAATAGAAAGGGGGATTCCCAAAAGTATCACAGAAGTGGGGAGAAACCACGAGCGATCCCACAACCCTGATTTGTCATGTTCCAGGAGAAGCCGGAGCGTGCTTTGCGTCCTACACCGAAGCCTTCTAACTTGCGAGCCGTCGAGCGCAGCACACGTGGACGCATGCAACCAAAAGCTGGCTGCGACATCCAAGCTCGAGATTCGAGCTGCAACTACGAGAGCATACTTCGCACACTCCTTGCGTACTCAAAAGTGGCACTTTGCAAGCTTCTGCGGGAGAGCGCTTCGCTTACATATTTCGTAGTGAAACTCTGTGGTTTTCGAGCTGCAGAGTTGCGAGCGTTCCTTTGGCTAGGCCTAACTTTGCAATGGATCCCTGTGACAAGTTGTTGCCGCTGCTCAAGGACCGTGAAGAAAAGCCAAGGGCTCTATTTAGCAGCTTGGCTCTGTCTGAAATCCCCAAGGGTCAGCGGAAAAGCAGTCAATGGGGAAAAGCTGTTGAAGTCATTGGCTCACTCTCATCTGCCCAAAGGACCTGGAAAGAAGAAGGATTTCAAAAACCAAAAGGCCAAAGAGGAAGCTTTCCTTTCGGCAACACCCTTTTCTTGCTGATGCTCATAAGAAATGATCAACAAAACCCGTGTGGTGGTTTCTCCTTTAAAGGGAATCCCCACCAGGTTATTCCCACCACCTATGGCATGCATCGCATGACGATAGGTGGACCGCGTGAAGGTCCTCGGGTGGTTTGTCCTGAGGCCGGGGCTCTCTCCCCAGGCTGGATACGGCCACACCAGTGCAAGGCCAGCCATGCGGTGGCATAGACGCAGGTGCCTCCAAAGTCAGCAAATCTTGGTTCAGAATTGCATGGACCCCTCCCCCCAAACAAAAGACAAAACACACAAACAACAGCAACAACAAACATATCGCAGATGCTCAGAGATATCTCATTTTGGGAATGTTCTGGTTGGGTTCCACTTTTTGACCGTGCAGCTTTTCTATCTTGAAGGCACGCACGCCACCTAAACCGAAGGGGTGCTTCACCGGACATGGATCCAGACGGATCCGGTTCACTGAAATGGGATTCCACATGCTTCTGCTTTTTCGCTTTGCTTCGGGGATTTCAACTTGGTATCACAGAAAGCGACCTTCAAACCCCGTTTCCCACCCTGAAGCAACAAAGGGACAGACAATCGTAGAGCATTCAACATGCAATCCACTTGTGTGATGCTTTTGATGGTATTTCCTGTGACACTGTTCCATGTTGGTGAGGAGATACCATCAAAACCATCAAAGTAGAGACATCTCCTTTGAGGATCACACTCTGTTTAGAATCGGGCTCTTCTGTTCACATTGAAGTAATATAAAGGCCTGTCTAAGGGGCTAACAAGTGCACATGGGGTTTTCCCACTTATCAACTGGTTTTTAAGTACCCCACAAACCCATCTTAGTCATTTGGCCCTTGAACTTGCAGGTGGTTTGCGCCACAGATTCCCCCCGACTGCACTTCCGTCCGGTCCGGCGTCCGGCCTGAGACCGCCTCTTCAGGCGTCATGCCTTGTGGAGCTCTGGCCACCATCCTGGCATCCGTTACCAGGTAAGAGCCTGAGCCGGGCTCAAAGAAGCTGCGAGTGGCCCAACGGGCAGCTTGCCAAACCGGTGCGCGTTCGAGTTGTGTCTGCTTGAATATGTCGAGTGGCAGTTGCAATCAACCTCACTTCGGAATATGGCCATTAAAGACATCACGAGACCTGACGAACTTCAACTTTGAGCTTTCTCACTTCTGCAGCAACAAAGGCGAAAACTCGTGTCAGGCTCGCAGGAACCTCCCCCCGCATAGGTTCGATCTCTTGCGACCAGGGGGCCCATCCCATCGGGAGGAATGGCAATCACCGAGTCACCCACGGCCAAATGGGAAACACCTTCGCCTGCCGTTCGCTCAGCTCGGAGAGCCCCCTATGTTTGCCACGCGACGAGCAGCTTAAAGAGGCACTATAGCGACCCTGAGGACATAAACAAATGTCTCTCAGTCTGTGCGTGTGTGTGTGTGGGTAGGTGGGTGGGTGGGTGGGAGGGGCGCATTCTTGCGCGGTGTTTCAGGGGAAGCCAGCAAGAGAACCCAGTTTTTGTTGCTCTCTATTCCAAATAAACACCCAAAACGATGTGTGCTGTGTTGTGTGTTGCGTTTTGTGTGTGTATGTGTGTTGTGTGCGTGTGTTGTGTGTGTGTGTTGTCTGTGTGTGTGTCTCGTGTGTGTGTGTGTGTGTGTGTGTGTGTTTCTGTTTCTGTTTCTGTTTCTGTTTCTGTTTCTGTTTCTGTGGTGTGTGTGTGTGTGTGTTTTTGGTGTGTGTGTCTTTGGTGTGTGTTTTTGGTGTGTGTGTGTGTGTGTTTTTGGTGTGTGTCTGTGTCTGTGTGTCTGTGTCTGTCTCTCTGTGTGTGTGTGTGTGTGTGTGTGCGCATCGTGTCGTATCGTGCAGTGCTCGTGTTTGTGTTCGTGTCGTGAGGTGTTGTGTCTTGGCGCTTCGTGTCGTGGTCTTCTGGTGTTGTGTGTCGTGCTGTGGTGTAGCGTGCTGTGAGGTGGTGTTGTGCTTTGTTGTGTTGTCCTTTGTTCTGTTGTGCGTGTTTTGTGTTGTGTTCTAGCGGCGTGTGTTTGCATGTGTATGTGTTCTTTTGTGTTGTTGTCTGTGTGTGTGTGTGTGTGTGTGCGGCAGGGGGTTGTTTCTTGGCTTGTTTCTTGTTTGATGCCTTGTTTGTTTGTGCTTGGAGTGAGGGGTGCGAGGGAATATAGTCTACCCTATTCGACGGGACCCCAGTCAAGTTGGCTCCCAAACCTCATCCATCCGGAGGGTGCTGGTTGTCTCGCTGTCCCAAGGTGAAAACTCGTGGCTCGCAACCCTTGGCCCAAATCTGCTTGGCGCCTAGCGCGGTGACGGTGCCGTAGGTTTCCCCGCCCAGGCCCAGGGAGGTGCCGGCCACTGTGTCGGGGATGGCGCCCAATGCCACCAGGACATCGCCTGAGGTCTCACCCTTCCCTTTGGCGTCCCCGTTATGAGAACGCCCAAATGGCTCCAACGCCTTTTTTTTGGGGCACCGAACTGGAGTGGACACATTTGGGCTTGTCAACATAGGGAGGTTGAACAAAGCTAGACACTCTTTTGATGGGGAAGGCTCAACGGTCACCTCGGGTTAGAGGTGCCGCAAATATAAGTAAAGAGCTGAGCTAGGAAGGTCCTGGGCTACTATTTCATAAGATTTCGAAGATAGTTGGATGTATCTCTTTCGTGGGGATTCAGATAACAGTGTTTGGTGGTTCCCGGATAAAGTTCATAACCACATGGGTACTTGGACATGGGACTTTGGGTGAAATGGGAAGCCATGGAACTTGTTGGTGTCCTGGTGCTGCGCCTTTCAACACCCAAACAGTTGGATTGGTAAGTGAGGAGTCACCAAACAGACGTGGCCCTTTCCTTTTTGGGGTGACCCTTTGGATGGGTTCTAACAAATGGGTTCACTCAACCACTGCGCATGCACACACACACATGCCTGTCCTTGGGTGCAGGCTGCCAGTCTAGGCAGATCCCGTTTCAGCTCCCCGGGTCGTTTTCCAGTTGGCCGCTCTTTGAATCCACCTGAGAAGGGTACCCTCAACAAAACCGACCCAACGGGAGCGAGTGATGTCGTTTGATATCCTGTTGGAGGGCTTTGAAGCGAACTCGAAGCAAACAGTAGAATTTCGAGAGCCAATATGGGTGTGTCGTTTCCCTCTGTTGGTTGTTTGAGGGAACCCGAAGCCATTTTCGCCTGTTGTTTTTTCGCCAACAGCTGAAAGCTTTGGGGTCTCAGCCCAGATAGGCTCCGGGGTGGTCCGGGGCGGCCCCGAGACAAGGTTTCACGAGGGTTCCACGAGGTTCTGCGAGGGATGCGGGGTGGTGCGAGCACTAACAAATAAAAAGAGCACCGCGTGCTGTTGGGGACATCACCTGAGTTTTTTTTTTCAAATACTTCTAAAGACACACCCACATTCATAGTGTTCCCACTGGACATTTGGCGAAGGTGAATTCGGAGTGCTCAAAGTCGTGCCCAAATGGCACATGGTGGACTTTCGATTAGGCTTCACCAGGTTGACCCACCTTCAGTGGGCTCCTGATAAAGTGGACACCCCACCTTTCAACCAACTTAACAAGCTCACTTGCCCATTAGGGACCTGGAAATCAAAGGTGATCACCTTTTAAGGCATGACTATGGACCAACGTGGAAACATCAAAAGGTCAAAACGTCGATTCACTTTGGCAACTGAGCTTTCAGAAAGATGACCCAGGCCTAAAGAGCGGCCAGTCTAAGTGGGGCCGGACTCGTGGGAACATGCGAGACTGGGGTGACTGCCTACTGTGGTTGTTGGTTTTTAGCGAGGAGTCATAACATGTGTAAATACTAGAGTAACTTCAAACCTCAAGCAAGATGATCTACGTCATGGTGAGCTCGTTTTACCATGCCAGCTCGCTCTGTAACCCTGAGACTCGGTCCCTGTGACAAATCAAAACAAAACACCCGGGTGAAGAGTTGGCCCCATGTGAACCTGGCTCACCAAGTTGACCTTTTAACCAGTTCCCGTTTCGGTTGTGAGTCGAGGGCGCTCAGTATAGTCTCGACCAATTCCCTTCAAAAGACCTTGGAGATTTGGAGGGGCAGCAGAAGGTGGACGTTGCAGGGTTTTACTTTTTTGACAACCCGCAAATAGACACAAATCCAGGGGTTCCCCTTTTGGGGTACATGCCCCACACCTGGGTTTAGGCCATTCTGGGGTTCTTAAAAAGTGGAGGTCAGGGGGGGGGTTTTGTTAGGATCAGGAAGTTCGTGAAGCGACATCGAGCTGGGGCATTCATGACATCATGCACTTGGCTGGGTGACTAAGAACTGCGGGCATTCAACGACCTTGCGAAAGAACTGGCTATAGGACATCTTACTAGACATGGGCTTAACCCTCACCAAAAAACAGGGGCTCCCCGTTAATGTTCCTGTACCACATTTCTTTGAGTGTCCAGGAAGTTGAGCGGCTGTCCATGTTCCCGAAACTTCCGCCGAGCATCACCAATACCACCCCCCTCCAAACCTCGTCCAAACAAGCAGCAAAAAGGACATTTTGTTTTTGCAGCCCCGCCTAATGAGCAAAACCAAAAACCTTAAAAACCTCGAAACATGCCAACAACAGCGAAACAAAGTTTTTAGGTCCTGAATATTCCTGAATAATTAGAATGGGGGTGAGGCGCGGAAACCAAGCCCTGCTAAGACAAATCTCTGTGTAATCATTTGGCGCTCTCCGCCGAATGCAGCTGCCGTGGGCACCAAGTCCCATGACTACGGGGCTGCAAAGTGGAGTTTGTTCGTCCACAGTACGGGGATGAATTTTAAGCGGGGTCCTCTACATGAGGGAACCTCAAAATCGGCGTTTGGTTCTACGAATTCCTTGTAGAGCAAGATAAACAGCGACTTTTTGAGGGTACCCTATTTTCTGTTGTTTTAGTTGCTTTGGAGGTAAACCAACAGGACACCATCTTTTGGTGGGGGGGGGACGGGTCCTATTTTAACAACACGATTGTGGGGTACTCTCCGGTTCGAGCTGCGAAAGTTCAGCGCCCAGAGCGAGGTGTGGATCTCCACCTCCCCCTTCTGCGGAGCGCGGCGCTCGCTGCGCCGGCAACTGGCAGTGCGGCTGAGTGGGGGCGGAAAAAGAAAAGATCAGCACAGCGATCAAGAACCACCAGCCTTGCGAGAAACGCTTGCAATTTGACTTTGGCAAAACACAAGCCTCAGATTCTGCGGCATATTTCTGGCAACGCCTTGAATGGTTTAAGGGACACAACCCCAGTTTCTGACTTTGACAGAACCTGTAAAATGAGGCGATGAAGAATTTCGGTGAACCAACGGCCGTCCAGCATTGCCAAATGCCGAGAGTTGTTCCGGCTGGAAAAACCAAGCTCATGTTCGGCAGGGCCCATGAACCGTTCACCTGTGTACACCCTGCAAAAAAAACTCGGGGTTTTCCCCCATGTTCAATTTCAGGGTGGGCTTTGGTTTGCACTCACAAATCTGGGGTACATACGAACCAGAAAAAAATAACATGTCCAAAAACATGATCCGTCATTCCTATGGTCAATGAACACGGCCGTTGGTCAGAATCAACGGGAACCGCGCCGAGCCGACTGCGCTCCCTTAGTGCCGCTGGAGGTGTCGATCTCCACAATGTAGGGCTCTGTCCTGTCGCAAGCTAACAGCAACTGGGTGGTCAGGTTAATACTCTTTGCTTGCTTTGAATGTGGATCAAAGAACAGGGGGTTACTAAACATTGCTTGGTAACTCCCCTTTTGTTCAGTCGATTTAACTAGGGAGTCTGGGGGTAGGGTACCATGGTACACCCAAAATAAGATCAGCTGTTCGGCTTCTTGTGCCCTGAAAAGTCACCATGATTTTGCAGACGTCCCCAGCCGTCCATGGAAGTGGACAGGGCTCTTCAACAGGGAAACAACCGTCTTCCCAGAATAGCTTCGTGTCAACTCCCACGATTGTGAAGAAACCCCACTCACAAGAAGCTGGACTCCCATTTTTGCAGAGGCCAGTTCTTGTTCCAAAAAGGTGGGCATCTTGCTGGGTTTTCTCCACCCCAAGAAAGTGCGCTGAGACGGCATGGCCATAAGTTTTCTCCCCTACAATGCAGCTCCCCCTAATAATGAACAATGCCAGGGCGGCAGCCCTTAAACTAGAACCACAGGTGGCCCCGATAGCGTTGGTTTTACGCATGTGTGTTTGCTTCCCTTTTCATGGGCAAGTGGCCGCTGCAGATTTTATGGCCCGGCGTGCGGCTCCGAGGTAAGAATGATGCAAATGGCTGCGCGAAAACAGATTGCCCATATTTCCATGCCAGAGCTTTGCCGTACACGTGTTTACGCATGTCCTTCCGCGACAATTAAGCTTTGGTGTTGCCAGCTCTGTGCAAGTGTTGGTGGGTGCAAGCGCTCGGCCCAAGTGTTCTGTGCAAGCTGCTGTGCGTGTGCAAGTGCTCTGAACAAGTTTTATGCGCAAATTCTCTGAGCAAGTTCTCGCGCGCAGCTCTGACCACAACACAGCAACCCATGAGTCCAATTGTCGATCCGGACCTGCGAAAGTGTACTCTGCGCGGTGACTTTTTTGTGCGGGTAGGGGTTTGCTATTACGTGGACTGGATTAGAGCGCACATATCAATTATTACTCCTGCAAACTCACATGGACCCCAAAACATGAGGTTCCTCACAAGGGATGCCATTGGTTGGAAAACCACCCCAAAGATGACATTTCCCACATGGGCAAGTGACCCATGGTGAAGACTGGGGGCCCTAAATGGAAGATTGATCAAGTCTGGCACCTTTCCTTACTGCCAACGTGTATTCACATGCAGAACGAGCTGAAGGCTTCAAATGCAAAGCTTTGCAAAGACACAGTCATCTCACAGGCCAATTCGTGGCGTCCCCTCAAAAGCTGCGGCAAGAATGAAATGCAAGACTTGGCTCAGTCCACCCCCATTTGGGGGGAATGGACTCACTGAGCTCATTTTACAGCTAAAGCCCCCTGGAGGGCCCCCCTGCGCCCCCCAACAAGCCCCGAGATCAGCTCGCCTCAGGGCCCGAAGCTCCGGCGCCTGCTGCTCCTCCTGCGTCACCCGCTGCTTCAGCCGCGCCACGCCTCGAAAATCGCTCGCACTCGCGGGGCGAAGTGGTTGGAGGGTTGGGTGGGGATAGGGGTTGGGTGGTGCTTGGGTGCTGGAATTTGTCCCAGATATGGAGCTGAAGTGGGTAGGGTCTTTTTGGCATCCCTTTAAACCAACCTTGAAATTGGGCATAGCAGCAAAAGAAGCCGACGTCCCCATGTGACCGGAGAAAACTAGGAACGTTCTTCCCCCCCAAAAAGAGTGGGACTCTTGGGTGCCGTCTCTCCATCGGTCAGTCATTTCGTCAGCTCATGTCCCAAACAGCCAGAAGGCGTACGTGGCAGCTCTGGATGGTCCTTGCAACGGAAAGCGGCTGCAGTTTGACACATGCCCCTTTTGGAGGCGTTTGTCCTTTCCTGCCGCAGCCAGCCACCCTAAAAACTTGAATCCGAATGAATCTTCTTCTGGATTACTCCCTGTCATGACTTGAGTGTTGGCAGCATTGTCCCGAGCAAAACATCACCCAGTGAAATGACAGCTACTGATCCGCCAGGTCGCCGTTCTCCTCGATGATGCGCAGCACAGACTGGCCGGATGTGCGGAGCGTGCCGGCTTGTCATTGACACGTGATCGATCGCTTGCGGGATTGATGGGTTGGGTGTGTCGCAAATAGGAAGAGCCCCAAAAAATCCCCTTTGAACCCACTAAAAAGGCCCCCCCCCCCCCAAAAAAAAAAGACAACCCGTGGGATAGCCCGAAAGAACAAGAAACAAGACTCAGGCGCTTGGGGAAAACCCTTTCTGCAAAATCGAGTTCCCTTTTGCGTACTAGGGCCAGGCTGTCGTGGCATCATGCCTCCCCCATAAAACCAAGGCGCGCTGTGTGGAAAGAGAGTGAAGGGGTTTCGACGCCCGACCCCAGACCCCCGCGTAGCACAGAGAGGGATCCACAACCGAACTTGTGGGCAACATAACTGGAAAAAGTGTCTCATTCTGACTCAAACATGCAACTGACTCTGGCGGAATGTCACAAGAAACAAAAACAAACCACCAGTCTGGCTGAAGGGCCCAACATAGTAATCCTGCTGTAAAAAAAAGGGGCCCCAACTTTAAGAAAATAATTTTCAGATGCATCCCCAACCAAGAACACGCCACTTGAGCAGTTGGCTTTGGTTCTGCAAAGCTTTATGTAGGCCCTACGAGCACCATAAAATTTTAGCGGTTGGCAGTGCTCATGTGAACCACAGCCCACCTGGGCTTCTGCTTTTTGGCCGCGAGTGCCTCTTGTTTGGTTGGTTTGCAAAGGAACGCCAAAAGGAAACCACCATTTGGGCGAACACCCAGGACCCACATTACTTTTGGATCAACCCCTCCCCTCCTCAAAAAAAGGAACGTCGGGGAACATGCGCCAGCATTTGGGGGGTTCGCAAAATGGCCCCCCCAACAATGGCTGGCTTCCTTTTGGCCTTCCTTTGAACCGCGTCCGAAAAACATGTTGAGAGTTTCACCCATTTTGGGCCCCATTCGTCCCACCATCTTTGCCACCATTTGGGCCACCATTTGGGCCACCACCATTTTGGGCCACAATTTTGGGCCCAATTCACTTTTCTGCCTCCCCCCAACTTCGGCGAGTTGCAATCACAAACCCCAGCCGCCGCCGCGAACCGTGCCCCGTCCTTGGAGTCCATGCCCAGATCTCGCGCCGCGGCTTTGAGCTGCTCCCGGCTGCCGATGACGGCCATGGCGCCCACCTGGTCGTGTCGCCGGCGGCTCGTGGCGCCCACGGCTGGGGGGGGGAAGAAAGAAACGAACCGATGCTGCCGTGGATGGTTGCGCAATCCATTTCGCACCACGAAACCAAACCAAGGAAAGCCATTGGGAAAAACCATTGTTGGTTGGTATTTGCAGGGGAATCCTCATTCTAGGGCTTCTTAGGTGGAACAACAAATCGTGTATCCACAGTATGGGGGTGCTGATTCCGAAACAAAAGACAGACCAAAATGGAATCCAGGCAAGGGAAGCTAGGCGTAGATAACCTGGTTCTCGGAGCCCTAAGAAACCCCAATGAGGTGCTTGCTACCTTTCCTGAGCTGTGGCGGGGCAGGGCCTTTTGGATTTTCCTAGAATTACGGGGTACCAACCAAAAGGAACCGGTGAACATGATTTGGAAGGCCTGTGACACACCCTGTGATTCAAGGCTGCAGATATGTTGGGATGCTGCTCGGCCGCTTGACGCGCGAGCACGCATGACAGAGCCGAACTCTGAAGCCGCATAGATTGTCAGACACATTCGGCTCGGCGAAAGACTCAAGCACCTGAACTCGTTCAAGAAGATCCGGCCGTTTTGATTTGAGCGTGTATCTGTGTGTATCGTCTCTTGCAATTCTGTTGAGGATGAATGCAGATCAATAGAAGTCCTTCTACCGCCCAACTGTATAAGTCGACATTCGGCAAGCAGTGCTTTTGCTTTTGCTGAGGTTGGCATCCCCCTCCAGTCCGGGCAACATGCTCTTGCCTGCGGCTAGGTTTTTTCTGCACCTTTTCTTCTTTCCCATGCTCGTCACGTGCAACGACTGGGAAACCATGGGGATTCGTCGGTTTTTTTGGACGCCGGTGCAAGGAACCACGCCCCGCGGAGGCCCCTTGACATGCACCCAAGATGCATATATGGATGTATACATATATATATATATATACCCAGTGTATCTAAAGGCCCTTCCGGGAAGGGCTGCCAGACAAAGGACCCCGCAGGAAGGGCCGTTCTGTTTTCAATGCTTTTCGGGTCTTGTTGGAGCCCGCTCAATCCTATCCGGTTTTGTGGATTTCAAGCTGAAAGACCATTTCTCACTTAGCCTACCGAAATGCACTCAACTACAGCTTTCTGCTCCCTCCGACTCAAGCGCAGATGCGAAGCTCGAATCACCGTGTACTTTAGAGTGTGGCTAGCTATTTTGTGTGTGTCAACCTGGCCACATAGTGGTGCTCATTGCAGTGGCTTTCATTCAGGCAAAGCAAGGCCCATGCAGTCCAGACAATGAACTTGAAATCTCAGAACCCGCCATTCACGCTAAATCACGCTAATTTCACGCTCTGGAGGGTCCTTTCACGCGCTCAGAGGTCCTTCTCACGCTAATTCACGCTGATTTTTCTCGCCGACTTGACAACTGTATTTTTCCAAACCACGTCATTGCCATAGTAAGATGCAACAAATGATGCCCTTTTCTTTGCGTTTCTCCAATTAGACTTGTATGCCGGAGTAGTGTCCTGATTCGGACTTTCATTTTGCGCCTTGCCCCAAGTGCCCGGTTTCGAGCGCAGGCCTCAAACCTCATTGTCATCTAACCTTTCCAAGGAGTCAATTGCAAAGTTCTTGAAACGCATAATTTCTGCCGACGTGGTAAGCCTGCATGGCATGGCCAGCAAAGCATGCGCACACATACCTCCCAGGAGGTCCTTTGTAAAGGACCCTCTTTACAAAGGACTTGTGGGAGGGCCGTTGACAGACTGGGTATATATATATATATATGTTTTTTGTATATACAGACATCATGCTGCATGTATTTGCTCACAAGCCCCCCCCCACCCCCTCCCCCCCACCCACCCCACCCCCACCCACCCCACCCCCAAAAAAAACATGTGCTTTCCTTTCGGCCTTTCCGCAATCCCCAATATCCTCAAGAAAGACACGAATCCGGACTTGAGCTTCTAGCAGACTCCCCCAATGTAGACATGGCCAGTGAACTCCAAGGGAAAGCTAGGCGCTTGGCCACCGCTTCCCATGGACCACCTCTCCCAGTTGCCGCAATGAGCTCAAGGCCCGGAAGGGTCCCGTTTGTTGCTACTTGCGTTGGGCGAAACGGATGTCGCCACCATCCACAGCATGGGGCAACATCCCCCAGGTGGCTTCTCCGGTTTCATCGTCTCAGCGTGAAGTGGACACTCCGTCCGTCCGCATTTTCACCTATGGGCCCCCAAAAATGGGTGGTGTCCCCCCCTCTTAACCTTTACGAAAGCTGCTGCCTCCAATGCCGCCTCTGCAGCAGCCTCTGCAAATCGGCAGCCTGGCAAAACTGTCCCGTCCCTTGTCACTTCCTGTGGCAATAACCTCGACCAAAGATGAGCCTTTGGTTGCCAGGCTTTATACTTATTCCTGGAATATCAACTTCTAACATGCAACCTCCCCGAAGCTCACATATGGTACCTAATCAACCAGGGTTATTGATCCAGGGTCAATATGGGTATGAATTTTATCTAGGGACCCTTTGGTGGACATCATTTCGGTTGGGAGTTCTGTCCACCCACCACTGTTTAAGGGACTCCCCATTAAAAATCACAGCCATATACACTGAAAGTGGCAACCGCGTTCGCCGCGTTCCACAAGCTTCGGGGGTAGCAAAAACCATCGAGTGGCTAAGACCTGCCTTCGCCTTCCACACACAGCAGCCAGCATCGGCAGCGTGCCACCAGCTTCCGGACTTCCGTCTGACATCGCTTCCTGAGCAAAACACCGCTTGGAAGTTGGACCAGAACCTTCTCCACCCTCCCCCCACAAAAAAAATAAACAGCTTTGCAAGTGAACGGCACGTTGCGCTGCCAGGTGCTGCCCGCTGCTCTATATACATGACTCTGCGCAAAGAAGCTGGTTGTGAGTGGCTCTTTTCGGGCGCTCTGCGCGTCGTGCTTCGAGCAAGTTGTTTAACCTCCAAAGTAGATTCCTCCCATGGTTCCCCAGCCCCCTGTTTACACACCTCTTTTCCAAATAGTATTCATAACTCATAACCCATTTTCAACCTCATTTTGGCTCATTAACATAGTAGGGAATTTGGGGTGGGGGTCTTGGACATTTTGCTGGCAGTTTGTGGGGTGTGTAACTTGTGCAAGTTGGCGGAACTGGGCAAGTTTGGCTAAAGGTGTCAGCGGAGGTTTGGTGAAAGATGTGAAAGTTTGATGGCTTGGTGGAATCGCAGTACCAACGTCACCCCCTAAAAGGTAGAATAAAGGAAACCACCCCCCATTTGCTGACTTTTACAACCCCCAAAAACAGTCAGCAGCATAGCCCCGAAGAAAAAGTTGAACTTTTCTCACAAATGTCAACAGCTTGGCGTCGCGACGCAGTTGAGATGTTTGGGTCCCCTCAAAGCGATCGCACAGTGTTAATATTTTGAGGCCGAACATATTGGAATCCATCAGTTCCCTTCTAAGCCTGAAAAAGAATACGGCAATTTAGTCAGCACGTGCTTTTAGTAACCGCATGTCAAGGTTTCGTCCGACCACCGAGAAGCATGGCACGATTTGCAACATGATGCTGCCCGAAGCTCACATCTTCCATGGTCCTTGCCGACACAGCGTACGCCACGGCCTCGTAAAATTCTTGATGGCTCTCCTTGGTCGAGAGCGATGTCATTTCTGGGCTGTCCTCAGATCCCCCGCTAAAAATTCAACTTCTAGTGGGTTAAATGGAAATCCCCACTAAACACTAAAAGCCTAAAAAGCAAAGAGGATGGCTGGGAGCCACCAAGATTTCTTTCGGAGGAAATCCAGTTGGCCAAAGATTGAGAACCCTCTGTCTGGAAACTGGACCACGCAGCGCCCATTCCCCCAACGTCAAGCACCTCCTTTTCATGCACCCCCCTCCGCCACATGGCCCCCGGACAGTACAAGCGTACGGGTCACAGCTATCCACAGCTTGTGTGTATATCCGTTGCGGATTGCAGGGGGTGCTATGATGATAGGTATCATGATGATGATAATGATGATGACGATCATGATGATGATGATGATCATCATCATCATCATCATCATCATCATCATCAAGCATCGTTGTGATGTTAGGCGCCGTTGGGGATGCAGGGGATGCTATTGTGATACTTATCATGATCACCATCAGCATCAGCATCATCATCATCATCAGGCATCGTTGCTACGTTAAGCGCAGGTAGGGATGCAGGGGATGCTGAGTTGATAGTTACCATCATCATCACCATCTCTTTCTTCTCTTTTTATTTTCTTATTCTTATGTTTCTCATATACGCATTTCAAAAGCAACACCTGTTCTCAAAACGACGCAAGTCCGTCCTCTAAGTGCCGTAAACAACCGAGGGCTCGCTCCAAACTCCAGCGCTTGCAACTCATGTGGCTCATGCGCAGCGGTGACTCTGCCGGCTACGAGATGATGTGTCGTCTCAAAATGGGGTAACCTCCAAAATGGGTGGCTCTCCTTTTGGCTCCCTGTAAAAAAATAAGCCCGAAATGGGTAGCCCCACTCACCCATGTCAAAATACCATCGGTTGTTCCCCGTGCGTCGCAGAGTTCCTTGCAGGTGGCGCCTTGGAGCTTGTGCCAACTGGCCAAGTGGCTGTGACGTCATCGAGGCAAAGCTTCTTCACTTCCTCGCCCACCTTGGAATGTGCCGCAGAAATTTCAGCGGTTCCCTCGCAACCTTCCAAACCATCGCCTCGCCAAGGGCGCAAACGGTGGCCGGTACACCTAGACCTATGGCTCAGGCCATGTGCGAAGCCAACCCGATGCCCCTGACGTTTGCAAATTCAACCAACCTCGTTTGAGTCCAAGAGACAAAATGAGTCCAGCGGGGCCCCGTTCTGCTCGAAACACCTATTGGTTGCAAGTGGATTGATAACACACACATATATATATATATATATATATATTTTATACATATTCCGGCATCTCGCAAACCCCCAAGGGCTCGCGTGGCCAGAACCCTGACAGAATGACCCTCGGGGTGTTCGCTGTCTTTCGCTTGGGACCAGTCCGGAGTGGGCTCACAAGCTGCTGAGTTTATCGGATTTCAACAAACCCAAGGAGCAACCCTTCGTGCAAAATTGGGCGGGAGGGGGGCGGGGTGGGGCGCCGGCCATGACAGCCTGGGAGGTGCATTTCTTGGGGGGACACAAACGCGCGCGGTCCGCCAAAGCACCACTCGCCAGCAGGAACGCGGAACTGGAGCAATCTCCTGATGCAAGGAGTCAAAAAAACAAGAAGCAACATCCTAGAGAGAGAGAGAGAGGAAGCCTCTGCACCCACGGTGCAAGCAAACACCTGCAACCTGCTGGGTTATTGACACGTATCCTCTTTGACCCTTGACCCAAGGAACGCGCATCGAACAAACCGTTGGTTTACATGCTTGCCCTCGCGAAGAGTTTCCAAAAGCCACCGGAAACACAGACCGCTTTCTGTTCAGCAATCAAAAAAACATGAGAAAATCGAGCCGCCGAAGGAACACCTCTCATGGCCGGCATGTGGGTCATGTTTCCATGCAGCAGGTTGCTTGGATCCTTCCAGCATCTGAACCCGCAAAGAATCAATAGTAGTCTGCGCAACGGAGCAGAACCCTATATGATATTTGTGAATGAAAAAGGAAACCGTGTCTTGACACAGATTTATAATGCTTGCACCTGCAAACAAACGCACCCGAGATTTCCTTGAATCTGGCCATCCACGGGTCACATAGGCTCTAGCTACAAGTTTTACTCCTAAAAAAGTGAAAGCGATCAGGTCCTTGGGACAGAAACAACATCTGTTTCCTCCCAATAGGTTTGCCGGTTGCTGAAAAGCAGGGATCCCTGGAAACAAGGCTCAACATCTAGCCTTCCAACCATTTTTCTGGATCCCTTGGTGTGTATTCAGGTAGGGCACCCATCAAAGTCCTGTTGTTTTCTTAGCATCAAAAGGGCGGCGACGAATCGCTCCTCCCAGCGCGTCCGGCAGCTCTTGAGATGCGCCTCCGCGTGCGTGCTGGCCAATGTGAGGCCTGGCCGCGAATTCGAATTCCTCCCCGTTGTGGGCTTTGTCTGTGTCCAAGAAGCTCGCCGGTGCCGGATTTCCGACCTTTCTCCGTGGAAATTCATCCAAGAGGCAACTCATCTAAAAGTGGCAGCCGAAAAGGTGATGTGTGAGTGGGCTGCAAAGGAATGCAGGGGTCCCTAGATCTTCCCTAATATCTCCCAAAGGGACACTCACCAGACATGGGCTAGAAAGGTGCATTTCAAAACCATCCTAGGGGAAATACAGTGAGCCCTGCCTTGGGTAATTGTAATGAACCGATAAATGAGAAGGACATTGTGCTTGAACGGCGATGCCGAATCGAGCCTGACTATGATTCCGCTTGAACGGCGATATCCCCCCCAGTTTTCCACAAGCATGGTCAGAACACCCACTTGCCCCATCCTGTTGGAACAATAGATGAATCTGGTGATTGGAACAACAGTGCTCAGCGACATCCCATCTTCCCCCAGACCAAAACAGGACGCCCATGCCGACTTGACTCCTTGACGGGGACAACCAGTTGGTCCCTTCAATATGATAGCCCGCATGACACATACCGATTTTTCCAGTGCTTTGTTGGCTGGTTCTACGGGAACACAAGTAAACAGGAACTCCAATGAACACGAGAAACCAGCATACCCAGTGGCCACGGGAAACACGTCTCCCAAATTCCAGCGACACCAGCGCAACTGCTGCAGGACGCGCTTGATTTGGATTTCCTAGAGCCCACATCCAAACGGTTGGCTTCCTCTTGGCTATCCACTTGCCGCTTTGCGTCTCTCTGGTATCGCACCTGCCACGCGGCAAACCACTTCGCCCTTGTCGTTGAACATGTGCACCTGAAACGTCAAAAGACGAACATGTGGAGCCCCATATTTGGGTTTTCCGAACTCCGGAAGCTCAACAACCGCTTGGCTTCCGTTTGGCTTCTCTCGCAAGATCAAACGTGTAGAGTTGTGTACGCTTCGGCTGTCGAAACCGACCCAAGCCCTTGAACTGGACCTCTCTCAACAAAATCTGCCAGCCAAATCAACCCCCTCGCTTCCCAGCTGGCCTCTCACGGGTCCGGTCCACCCAAAAATATCACACGGCGAGTTCTGTGAGCCATGGGAGTTTCATAGGGCAACAAAAAAAGGGCCGTTTTAGAAGCGGGGACTGCTCGAGAAATCCAAAAGGACACCCAAAAGTCTTGTGGTTCTTTTCTTTTGGGGGGTCCATTTCCTCACTTGTGACAAAGCGATTTCCCCATGCAAAACCAGATGTCTGGTCGCCCCTTGGCACCATTTGAGCGCGCCGCATCGGCGCTCTCTGCACCTGCCGGCTGTGACGTGTGATGGCAATCTGCTCAAGCGCTGTCACTCCTTGGATGTCCTACATTTCTTTGCTATGAATCGGCAAATAGTTCCTTTGCCAGCGGACGATGGTTTAGTGCTACAATGCCAAAACCCAACCACCGGTGCAAACATCATGTTTCCTTCCCTCACTCAACGTGAGTGCCACGCTGCCTAGCAAGGTAAGTTTGAGCGACCGGCAAGACGGTTCATCCCAATTGTCTATCCCAACTGCAGGATTTTGTGGGTATGTTGACTTGCTCACTTGCACCTTTCAAGCCTTCACCTCAGCGGAGCTTATGAGAATTCGCCTCGTGGCCATGTTTTTTTTTTTTTTCACATGACTTCCCTCGATGTTGACGTGCGAGCTTTGTTTGCGCGGAATGTCGCTTTGCAGTGTTTCCAGGCAACTCAACAAACAGCTTTTGGGTGGCCCTGTTACACAAGTAGCACGCTGAACACGGCCTTGCTGTGGACTTCTTGGAAGAGTTGTGCTTTAAGCCGTAGGCATTGCTCGTGATCCAAAAGTGGGCAAGGTCCCAATGGAGGCATCTCCGGGACAGGAACTTGGCTGGAATTAGGACCCCAGCAAAAAATAATATTTCTTTGCCTGGTGGTGGAAAACAAAGGGAACCCCAGAAAAGCAAAAACAACAAGGGGAACAATTCTGGGGAAGGTATCGTTACGGCTATCTCTTTTGGGGCTATCTTTTTTTCGTGGCTCTTTGGATTTCTCTTCAATTCGGCCTGGACAAGGGTCATATCAGGGGCGCTGCCCTCAGATCCCCCGCTGAAGAAAAGCTTAACTTTTAGTGGCTTAAATGGAAACTACCACTTACCACTAAAAGGCTATAAAGCTAAGGGGATGGCTGGGAGCCGCCAAGAATGGGGGGTTCGAGGCTCAAACCGCCAAACGCCGGGCCTGTGTAGCGGGCATGGGACTTGGCCAACTGGGAACCCACCTGAGCGCGAAAGCGGCGCGGGTTTGTGGGCCCTCGGCCCCACAAACAAGGTAAACAAAAACACCTGAAAAAGCATGTAGACTAAGAATACACCCCCAAACAACCTTTTTCTTGCAAGGGGATCTTCGAAATTGGCAGAGAAACCAACTAAACCAATTTCCCTTCATATTTAGTCCACCCTAAAACATGAAAGAGTTTTGGAGGAGACCGCAAACTGGTGAGGTTGATCCTTGCACTTTGCACTGCCAGAGTGTCAGATGTTCCAGTCTGAAAGTCGAAAAGCCAGAAAGCCTTAGTTGTGTTTTGAGTAAAGCTGATGTTTGCTTGTGATCAACACGAAGATTTCCATCTTGTTTCCCTTTGACCTACCACTTGGAAGCGATGCTGATCATGGTAAAATGATGGGCCAGGATTGCGCAGCGACTTTTGTCACAGCAAACATAATCATGCAGGGATGTGGGGCACGCAGGAAGATGTCAACGCTATGTACCCCTGTTGCAATGCGGGGAAGTAGTTGAATTCGCAACAAATCTGGACCTGTTCCGCCTATCCCAGGCTGCGTTCGGCTCGAACAAGGTCTTTGTGCCGGCTCCATGCTCTGCATGTTGGTATACCATGCACCAGACGCTCAGGTGTAATTGGCCCCAGGAAATCATTCATGGCCTTTCGCTCCCGCATCGCCCAAAATCCGCAGCCCTTCCCCAGCCCGAGGCAACCACCCTGGTAAATGGATGGTTACCATTTGGGTGTCTCTCTGGATGCTGAAAGGAAACCGCCAAGAAACCACATACCTCAATTCCGGGTCCCCAATTTGAGAGAACCTCGAATCACCTATGTTTTCATTGCTCCCGGAACAGGACTTGGACCTCTCGGCCTTGGCGGTAACCTCGCGGATCTGGTGAGGGGCGCCTGCCGAGCTCCCTGAAAGCTGCCCCAACCACCCCGGAGCCTGCTGGGGAACAACAGATGAATAACCCCCCCAGAACAGATGGCTCTGGTAGATGAACAAACCACCAGGTAAACCAGGGCCCTCTATTCTCGACCACACGTATGCCTTGATTGTGATTGAATTTGGGGTTGTCGCCTTAAATGAAATCCACCAGGTGTTTGGGAAACACCCCAGAAGGACCACACCCCAAAAAAGAAGCCAGAAATAAGCCACGACTTTGCTTGCCATGTGGGTTTACCTTTAACCTTTGAACCTTTCTCAGCAAGAGGACCAACCTTTCGCGGGCGGTCAATGTGACGAGCCCCAATTCGTTCGGGATCTAATTCAAGAGGGTTGCCTTTTTAGGGGTGGATTGAACTGAGCCAGGTGAATGCTATGTTAGGTGTGTTCTGACTGTTTCCGTTTCATACCTTTTGGGACCCTGTTGGGTTGAAAATGCGCTTACTCACAGTAGACATGTATTCAAGTCAAGCGAAAAAGGTCCAAGTTGCCCAGTGGCACACTTGCTTCTTCGGCAATCCGGCCAGAGATGCGGCTGAAGTCAACATGTTGTGTTTTTTCCCTGACCCATTCGGGTTCCCGGAGGCGCGAATGTGGCTCCGTGCTTTGAGCCGTCCTCTTCAAAATGGGCCTGTCCCCCTCTGGGGGTTGGAGGTTTCGAGCTCCATGGCCGGGTCCAGAAAACATGCGTTTGCCTTAGCTCACCAGGGTTTTCATTTGGTGTCGACACCCCCGGCGTTTTGGGAACCCTCTCTTGCAAACCAGGCTTGGCTTGGAGCCAATGGCGTGGTCTGTCTGACAGATTCTACGAACTTGTTGATAGAGCACCTTCTGTTCTCCTTCAAGGATACACTCAAAGCAAACCTGTCTTGCAACATATCCTCCAAATCGGCAAACACAGTTGATCTGATTTGGCTTCATATTCGGTGTGCCCTAAAGTATAAACGAGTTTAGGAGGAGACCCAGCAGAGGTGATTCTTCAACTGGCCCAAGTGCATCCTTGAACTGATCTTGTAATGCGAGTATGGGATTTGGGCCAAGCATTGTGGCTTTCCATATGTCATAGCTGGTTTCCACTACCCCCACACCACTACCCGCAGTGGCTAAAGTGGCTAAATGGGATGGACAACCACTATATAGCCACTATAGAAAGGGTATATATTATCCTCTGCGGCGGTTTGGAATATGGCTTCCTAGCCAGCTGCAAAAAAGGGCACCGAGCCTCACACCGCAACGGGAGTCTCGCGTCGCCTCGCATGCCCAAGGGATGGACGAGGGAGGACAACTGCATGGCCACGTCCAGGTCCGCAGGATCTAACGCGAAGCCTATCGCTTGGAGTCTGACGAGACTCGGACCCGGAAAGGTCGGAACCCTTTGTTCGATGAATCTCGGGACGGGGCATGAAGTTGCTACCTCTGGTGCTTGGTCGGGTTTTTGGTTTGTGAGAGGGTGATCTCACCTTATGTGCAATCAAACAGAGGGTCAGAAAGTTGAAAGTGAAGAGTAGCATGGTACAAGCTGCCATTGACCCTTTTTGGTTGGGTTTAAAGGGAAACTTAGAGGAAACACAACATTTTTTGTTGGGGGGTGTCCCTTGATCTTTGCGGGGCCATCGCCCACATTTCGCTGGACCTCCAAACATGGGCCCCTGTCGTGTTCCCTCGCCAGTCGAGGGCCATCCATTTCCAATCTTCGAGTTGTCTTTTTGGTTTCCCGAATAAAACCACCCAAAAAAATACATACCCCAAAACAAATAACAAAAAGGCCACCCTTATTTTCACATGGCCAATGGTTTGAGAAAGTCGAGCGAGAAGCGCGCCCGGCGCGCCTCGCATGGCCTTGGGCAGCTCGCAGCACGCGAAGTCGCCCTGGACTCCAAAGTTGCGGCCTGCGGTTCGAGAGATGGTCATGGCTCACATACGCCGAGCTCTTCTTCTGGTTGACCATCACAGGGCCCATGTTTTTTTAGAGGTTCAGGGCATATTTTCTGGTAATACAGGGGCTAGGTCCTCCAGATTTGAGAGGTTAGAATAAGGGTACCCGATTTTTTTTCTCGGTTTTGTCTATGACAAAAGAACTCCTTCGGGCTAACATAAACGCCCTTGCAACTTTTGGATGGGAATGTCTGCCGCCGGGGCCGCCAAAAAAAGCCCGGGAATTCAAGAAGCGCCGTCCGTTTGCAAGAAACGGCCTTGACTCCTGGTCCAAATCAGCTCTGGGCCGCGCATATCAGTCTCAGAAAACAGACTTTCGCCCCCGGCGGCTCCGGTTTATTTGTGACATCTGCATCCTTGCCTGGCAAAGGTTCTGTGAAGAACTTCATCAAGAAAGCACGTGCGATGTTTGGGCTCGAGTTCCGCCGTGGGGTCGCGTTTGCGCCGTCGGGACGTAGGTTGCCGCCGGTGCAAGTCGATAAGTTTTGCGGCAAAGCGAATGGATTTTCACCATCCTAGCAGAAAAGCTGGCAAAAGTTGAGTAGCCGCGCGTCCAAGGTGCGCAAATATTACGAAGCAGTTCACGTTAGGCGACATGCGCACCTACCGCAAGGAAAAGTCCTCGCAATGAAACATGCCACCACAACCCGCTCCCCTCGAGTTCCGATGCTGGACGGCAAAAGGCGCATTTTCGAGTCTCAGGCTGAAACTTTCGCCTGGAGCTTATTGGTACTTGCAGGCGCCCCCCCACCCCCAACATGGAAGATACCCAAAATCCAGGGATGGATTAGCTGGGCACCCCGCATGGTTGCCAAAGGTTGCATAAGACTTGCGGTTGGCCCTTGTTTGATCCAGGATTATCTCAGGCTTTGTGCCGACCGTAGCGACTGTTTCAGGTTTTTAGCCCGCACGTCAGGTCGCCGCAATATGTTACCCAGAAGATAACTTCCAAGGTTGACTCCAAAGGCGACGGCATTCAGCAAAACCCAGCGATAGGAACACCTGCAGGAAGCTTTTCCAAATGGTCGCTGTTCGGTCGCAACGGCCTTGATCATTCAAATGGGCGGGCATCATAGAACCACTTTCAGTCATGAAAAAAAAACGACCCCTCCTACTACTTACCCCTTAAAACTCCAAGCCCTGGGGAAGTAAATCTGTTACAGACATATAGCCCATGTTACCCAAAAAGTTGAAAAGTTGTGTTTTTAAGAGGTAAGACTACACTCCTGCAGATGTCATTCCTCTACAGCCGGCTTCTGTAAAACATGTCACCAGGCTGCAAAGTGCCCAGAGTCCGACTCCAAATCTTCACATTCGCTCGAGGCGTTCCTCTGAATTTATCTGGCTCTGCAGAGTCGAGGGCGAACCCTTAACAGGGATCCTTACATTATATACACCTGAACATTGCCTTGGTGGTTTCCCTTTATTTTGGTGGAAAAAGCAACATGTTTCAAATGGTTGCAAAATGTATCTTTTAAGGAGCCCTGCTAAACCTACACGTTGGACATCGACCCCCGGAAGCATTGATACCTCTGATCCGATTGCTGTCGAGACTGCAAGCCTTGAGAACATCAGAATTAAGTCCCGATCCGGGATTCCTTTGGCGAAGAGATTCCAAAAAAAACAAGCATCTTGCTGACCTCGGATGAGTCAACCTTATTGATCCAGGAGGTGGGGCTTTCAACCAAAACCAAAGTGGTCTGATTCTCCACATTTCACCCAGGTTGACACCATCCGGGGTTATGGACTGAACCGGTTCCAGGTGTCGCAGGGCCTTGGAAGTCTGGGCCATAGACGTAGCCAGCCGCTGCGAACTGGTCCTGGCGCATCTGGGAGTCTTTTTGCGCAGCTCGCGAACGCGGTTCTTGGGCAACGCGCAAGTGTCCAAAACAGCCCACAAGGAAACACCCGAGAAAAACCCGAGACGATGATGCCCTATGACAACCCAATCTAGTAGGTCACTAGGGAGCGATGGCAACAGGACAACACGCTCGGATCTGCCAAGCTGCGTAGATGTCCGGTACCGGTGAAGTCTCAGGCGCCTGGCCAATGCCAAGCAAAGACCAGCTAAGGGCCAGAAAACCTGATCCAGTTTCCCCTGCGGAAGTTTGGTGGCCCGTCAACTGGTGGTGTCCTTTAGCATCCCCTTCCGGTTCATTCCACAAGTCTCTGGTTGAACCATTCCCACTCAAGATATGCCTGAATTCCCGTCGTTGCCATGGAACCTGGACATTTCCCCAGAAGATGAACGGTTCCATGGCAACGTGGACAGGAGGGTACCCTCCAGGAAATTCCATGGAAGCCAACAAGGGAAGACTTGGCTTCATTTCCCAGAGGCCAATTGGGGAGTGTGGGAATCCTCTAAGTGTTTCTTTGCTTTTCACGCCGCGGCCGGGTTCTTGTTTTTTGTTTAGGCCGCGGATTTTCTCCCAGGATCTCACAGGAGCAGCTCCTGCCGAAACGCGGCGCCCGCCTCCAAGGAGCTTTGAGTCAACTCCCAGGGCTCAGCCCTGAAGGAGCAGGTGCAGTGGACCACCTCCTCCTGGGTCCACTCGATTTCGGCTCAGAAATTTTGGTTGGCTCGTTTGGGTAGGAAGCCACGAAAGCAAAAAGAGGAGGAAAAACCAGGGCTCCGCTTTTTTGGACTATGGCTTTTAAGTGGGGACGCGTTGCTGGACATCAAAGCTCGGCGGGGAGTCATGTCCGCCAACCATTTTCGAGGTGACGAATTGGGGATGGCAAACATTGTCGTAGGTCTGGACGTGAAAATATCTTGTGACATTGAAACAGGACACCAAAAGGGGCTTCAAAATGTCAACAGTCTTCAAAGTACGCCGCGAGCTCACTGGAATTTGAAACTCTATGATTCCCCGTTTTTTGTTTTTGTTTTTCTCCGTCTGGCCAGCAACACACCGGGGCTTCGACCCTGAACCAAAAAAAACAAGTCTGGGAGGAGACGCCAGTACAGTGTTCCTCACATTGACATGTGCCCATGTGCCCCTTGACACAACAACCCTTGATGCGCATATCAAAGTCGTCCCAAGGCTGATGTTTGAACCAGCCAGGCGAATCCCAAAGCATCAAGAAGGGGCAACAGGCGCCAACATCGTGGGAGCAAGGATTCTAATTGCACAACGGAATGAGGGAATGAACCCAGGGGTCCCCTCAAAGGAAACGACCAGTTGGATGATTCACTTCGGGGTCATTCCGTTCCTCATTCCCGGCCTATCGCACCAGCAAGGGGCGTAGAAGGAGCTCATGATAAAGGTCCTTTACTTGGGGATCCGACTCTTCAGCTTTCGAAGTTGGCTTCGTGTTTCTCTCCGAGCGCCTGCGCCTCAGCGCCCAGCGCCCGGCTGCTGAAACGCAGCGCCCCACCTGGACGCCGGGAAGCGGCTCGTGGACCCTCCGCGGGGCGGATGGGGGTTGGCCCTTTGGCAGCTAGCAGCGAAAACTGTTGGGCTTTCTATGAGCTAGTTCCTCCAGAGAGGTTAGAAGGGTGCCAACCTTTTTGGGGTTTGCCTATAGGGGAACCCTCCCCTAAAAAAGGGTGAGAAAGGGCCCTATCACCCCCCTGGTTTTGCAGGTTTTCTTTTGGGTGGGGGACTCAACCTCCCACAAGGTGCCCAGCAGTGTGATTCCATAGCCTTATCAAAGAAAATCGAACGCATAAACCGCAAACAGACTCAGTGCAAGGAGGGTCACCCCGCAAAATGGGGCTTGCCTTTTTCTGCCCTTGTCAGACCTCGAACATTTTCAGGGTTCACCCTTTGGCACCTTGAACGCCAAAAGGTCGATTCGCTTCGAACAACCGAACTTTAGAAGTTGCCCGAGAAAAGAACAACACAGAACATCCGCTTCGGGTCTTGCTTGTTGATCTTGAAGACGCAAGCGCCCAGAACTCAGGCCACCTCCCCAAGTAAACCTCTGAGCGCCCTGGTTCCCCGCCGGTTGCCCCGCTGGTTGCCCCTCACCCTTTGTGCTGTTCAGCCAGTGAGGGTGCCCTTTCCAAGCAGAACGCAGGCTGCGAGGGATGTCGACTCGGGCTTCGCCTTGAGCTGCGCTGGTGGCCTGGTTCTCCCCTCCTCCCCTTTGCCCCCACCCCCCTGGTGCCCACCGCGTGCCCTGAAGACCAAAAGCAGCGGTGCCATGCTGAGAGTCAGCCAGGCCGGATGTCAGTTGTTGGCCTTGACTTGTTGCAGGACATTAGGTTCGAGGGCGGACGCCAAATTCAAGTTAACTCGCAGAGATGAGGTGTGTGCTTGCTTACTTTGATCACTTGCTCCAAGTTAAACCTTTGAATGACACAACCCCCCTGTGAATTCTGAACCCAAAAGCCAAGGGTGTGTCCACGTCTTCGGCTGCTTCAAGGGGATTTGAATGATCACTTTTGGGGGGGAGTTTGGCTTGGCGTGAGTTTATTCTTGCACCCGGTCCAGAACCCGCGTGCGGGGCCCAACTCCAAATCGGTTCTTCAAGACCGCGCGCACTTCGGGCTGTGAGACATCGCCTCCAGGCCTAGGACTTCAGGACCCAGGGTCCCAAACAACCCCGAAGGCCACAGGTCCGCACAATCCGAAGTTGTGCCAGAGTTGGAAGACCTGGGATCAGCTTTGCGTCCAGAGGACCGAATCAGCTCAATCTGCTGAATCGGTGAGCCGAACACAGAGCATTCCCGCTAAGCAGACCTGGGAAAAAAGGTTTAGGTCGCTTGCATGTCAATGTCTGCAGCTGCCGAATTGCGGAAACCCCACAGCTTGACATGTAATTGCCACGTGATTCTTTCCTGTCCCTTCAATTGGGTGTTCTTTCTTTGGGACTTGGACCCCCGACACGGTTGGGTCCTTCTGGCTTTCCTTTCAGACCGCCAAAGGGCGCTCTCGACATGTCAGACAACCTGAAGTTGCGGCTGCAAGCGAGCGCGCCTGACTCAGCTCTCGTGATCGTCAGTGTCAGCAGCCGGGCAGTTTTCAGCTCCAGGGGCAGCGTGAACTTGATGTCCTGAAGTTAGTACTTCAGACTGATCCGACCCTTGAACAAAATGTGTTTTGTTGCTGGTTGAAGGAAGAACAAAGGAACACAAAAAAAGAAAACAATGTAAAGATAAGCTAAGTCTGGTACTCGAAATGCAAGGGTGACCTGCTGCAACAAAAACATGGGCCAACACTTGAGCCAAAGCAAATCAAAAGTTCGGGTTTGGGCTCGCCATGGCCAGGAACAATTGAAAAGCACATCGCCTGTTGAACAACAATTTTGTTGGGCTTCCACGTCTTCAGGGGGGTTTGGACCCTTCCAGTAGAACGAGATGGACCCCTCAAAGTAAGGCGTCCCCAGCAAGGGACAAAGCCGCGCGGGGAGCCACGAACAGGTCAAGGCCTTCGGCAACACTGCTTGTCACTTTTAGGTTGCTATGGGAGTACAATGTAATGGCAGGCAAAACCTCAGCCTACTGCACAGTCAAGCGTCAAACGTTCGATTCACCGGCATCCACAGAAAAGCCGAACAACAACACCACAAACTGAGCTTGCTTGCTTGCCTTGTTTGCCTTTTTTGGCTCAGTCGGCGTGTGTCTCTGTGTGTGTCTGTGTGTGTCTGTGTGTGTGTGTGTGTATGTGTGTGTGTGTGTGTGTGTGTGTGTGTGTGTGCGTGCGTGCGTGCGTGTGTGTGTGTGTGTGTGTGTGTGTGTGTGTCTGTGTGTGTGTGTGTGTGTGTGTGTGTCTGTGTGTGTGTGCGTCTGTGTGTCTGTGTGTGTGTGTCCCTGTGTGTCTCTGTGTGTCTGTCTGTGTCTGTGTGTGTCTGTGTGTGTCTGTGTGTGTGTCTCTGTGTGTCTCTGTGTGTCTGTCTGTGTCTGTGTGTGTCTGTGTGTGTGTCTGTGTGTGTGTGTGTGTGTCTGTGTGTGTGTGTGTGTGTCTGTGTATCTCTCTGTGTCTCTGAGTCTCTGTGTGTGTCTCTGTGTCTCTGTGTGCGTCTCTGTGTCTCTGTGTGTGTGTTCTCTGTGTCTCTGTGTGTGTCTCTGTGTCTCTGTGTGTGTCTCTGTGTCTCTGTGTGTGTGTGTCTCTGCGTCTCTGTGTATGTCTGTGTGTCTCTGTGTGTCTCTGTGTGTCTCTGTGTGTCTCTGTGTGTGTCTGTGTGTGTCTGTCTGCGTGTCTGCGTGTCTGGGTGTCTGGGTGTCTGCGTGTCTGCGTGTCTGCGTGTCTGTGTGTCTGTGTGACTGTGTGTCTGCGTGTCTGTGTGTTGGTGTGTGTGTGTGTGTGTTGGTGTGTCTGTGTGTGTGTGTGTTTGTGTGTTGTGTGTTTTGTGTTTGTTTGTGTGTGTGTTTGCTTGTTGGCTTGCCACGGTGTTTTTATATTTTTGTGTTCTGTGTGTCCTTGGGTCTTTGTGTGCTTGTGTTTGTGTTTGCCTGTTTGATTGCTTACTTGTTTGTTTGGTTGCATATTTGATTGTTTGTTTGTTTGCTGAAATGATTTCTTGTTTGATCCTTTGCTTGATTGTTTGTTTGCTCGTTTTGTTTCTGTGGGAACCCCTTTTTTTTTGGTGGTTTTAACGAAAGGCCAAGTTCCCCCCCCCCCCCCATCTCCTCCAGGGTCACCATCTCAGTGGACTTGACCTGTGCCACTGCCTCCAGAGAAATGGCGAGGAAGGCGCTTCCAGGCATCACCTCGAAAAAGCGAGCTGGAGAAGCAACTAGGTCCTCCAGTAGAGTTAGAATAAGGGTACCAACTTTCTTCTTTAGTCTATTTCAGTAGGGGAACCCTCCCCCAAAAAAGTTGGTAAAAGGGCACTACTGGGGCACCTAGGCAAGCCAGATTTGAGAGTCCCATATTCTTGCCAAACGCCCCATGTGAATTTTAGATTATGGGGGCACTTTGTGGTACGCGAAACATTCCGGGGATGCATGTTTTCCGTCTCTTCGGAGGTGGCTCCCTAGTGTTTCTCAAAATTATGGGATCCCCCTTTTAGCGCTCTAAAGAGAAACCAAAGGAACCCAACCTGGAGGAACACCCCTCATATGGGTCTTTCCTTTTTGAGAGGAACCCTGTGTGGATTGGTTTTCGAGAGACACCAGGAGGCGAACCGAAGCCATTTCGGCGGGGCCCTTCAGGACATACCCAACTTTCTCATTCTGCGGTTTAAACGTCAAGCTTCGGGCCAGTAAGGTCTCCTCCTCTGCCATAGTTTGAGTTTCATGTGGCTTGCTTTCTTTTTTTTCTTCCTGGTTTGACCCCGAACCCCTGAAACTGCGACCGCCTTGAGGGACCCAATACAATTGCCAGTTGCCACGGCTAAAACCCGAAGGGAACAACAAAGAAGCACACCGAAGAACAACAGAGAAGCGAAGGGAACCTGAAACATGGAGCATGTGGAACCTCTTTTCGGGTTTCATCACGATTTCGATTGACCAGTAGCAACAAACACGTTTTGGCAGCGCCCAACCCAAAAGGAGCAGACCCAAAACAGGAGAAATAAACACCAATAGCAAAGCACATCGCTTCCTTCGCAGCATCTTTCGTTGATCTGCCTCGTCCTCTGAGGAAGCTGGCAACTTGTTTCTCTATGAATTTTCCTGGCGCCAGGCAACCCGGAATATGCGGCAAGTATCTGGTATAGGCCCATGAGACATGGCAAAAGAAGGCTTGCAGCTCTAGTCCGGGACCTTGACCGGACCAAAACGGAGACGGCCGATTCGCTTGCAACTGAGGTCAAGGCTGGCAACGAGTTATTGCAATGACTAAAACAGAAGCCCCCTGCAAACCACCGACGGGCCGCTTGCAGTTTGCTTGGAAGAATTCTGAATGGTCTCTTTCACAGTCCTGCACAGTGCTTGCGATGTCAAATGGTACCAATGCTCATAGGCCTGCAAGATGTCACCCCCATGCGTCCACGCTTGAGTATTCCTGTTCCACAGGTCCCCCAGACATTGGACACTTGGAGTGCACTTTGTCGTGGTTCTGGTACTCGCTCAGTTCAGCCTGGTGTACTTGGGATGGAGTTTGTTTTGGGCAGACGGGTTTCTTCCATCTCCATTTCTGCCAGTTGTGAACACCCACCTTCACAACCCTTGGTATGGAAGCCCAACAAAGTTTTTGCTCCCCCAACTAAAAATTGAAGCGGACCCCTTTTTAACAAAAGACAAGACTTGCAAAGAACAGTGGAGCCACGTGTGTGTGTCCCCTTCTCAACCTTGTGGAACTACTGTGAATGCACGAAATCCATTTCGCAGCACTTTGAAACCGTGATGGACACCATTTGTTGCTTGATGTAATACGTATCACGGGCCGTTGATTATCCCGTTCGGGACAAATCATTTTGGGCGCCCCTTCTCGTGCTCAAACTCAAAGACGAGCATGGGAACCCAAGCGCTGCGCTTCGCACTGATCGGTTTGGGATCGTGTCTTTCCAACGAAAATATGTTTTTTTTTTTGGGGGGACTCCCAAGAATGGTGTTCCATGGTTTTGGGAGGTAGGCAAAAGCGTACCCCCCCTTTACTTAAAAAAAAAAAGGTCTACGCTTGTGTCCGCCTTCAATTCCCTGGGTCTGGATTGCTGTGCTTTCGCGGCGCCACCGTGCCGCTGACCCAATGCTGCTGGCACAGCTCCAGACGCGGCAGGCTGCCCTGGTGACGACAGCCAGCGGGGCCCACCAGCATCGTCCAAGCCTGGCTTCGCGTTTGGTCAAAATCAAAACCCGGTACTAAAATGGTCTACCCAGAACCATGTAAAAGGATTTGGGTTTTGATTGTGACTCATTTGGGATGGCGTCATTTCCCCCAAATTCCCGTCCAGCCTTTCAGCCAACTCCATGGTACCAGCATGTTTAGACTAAGGCCCAGCTATAGAATGCATACTCAAATTATTTCCTTCCCTTCGAGTCACTGGTAGAATGTAAAACTGTATCCCAAGTCGAGCAAGACACCCCGCCCCTCCCCCCCCACCCCCTCGGGCCTGTCTTTGATCCAGGCTCGCAGGCGCCAGACTGAGCGCCTGAGTCCATGCGAGATCTCGGGGTTAGGGACCTGCCGGTTTTAGGTCTTTCTCGGGGCCAGAAGGACCCAGGGTAGGTGAAGGGTTAAACCAAAGACAGTCGTGTTCACAGGTTTCAAGCTTAGTGTGGGCATACCAGAGAGCTAAGAGCTATGAAGTGTGCACGAAAAGAAGTGGCGTGCAAAAGCAATGAGCCATGTCTCAGGACAACTCACTCACTCTTCCCACACCGCGTTTATCTAAGATGCCCGGCCAGGGGAACCAAGGGGCATCTGCTTTCTGGTCGGTTGGGTTTGCAGGGGAAGCCGTCACAAAAAAGGAACAGGCAAGAGGCCAGAGCGGCGTCCACTCGGCAGCCGGGTTAGGGCCACGCATGTTTTATGCACCCGGCCATGGAGCTCGAAACCTCCAACCCCCAGGACGGCTCAAGGCACATGGGGAGCCAATTTTTCGGGCCTCCAGGAACCCGAATGGGTCGGGGGAAAAAACACATGTTGACTTCAGCCGCATCGGCCGGATTTACCGAGAAAACCAGAGTGCCACTGGGCAACTTGGACCCTTGTCGCTTGAATACATGTCTACTGTGAGTGAGTGCATTTTCAATTCAGGGTGCCAAAACGCAAGTTTTCCGTATGAAACGGAAACAGCCAGAACACACCTAACATAGCATTCACCTGGCTCAGTCTCTTCCACCCCTGAAAAGGCAACCCTCTATAAATAAATCCTACAAATTTGGGCTTGTCACACTGACCGCCCGCAAAAGGTTGGTCCGGTTGCTGAGTAGTGGGGATATAATTGTTGTCCAAAAGGGGCAAAGGTTAAAAGTCAACCCAGATGGCAAGCAAAGTCGTGGCTTGCTTCTGGCTTCCTTTTTGTGGCGTCGCCAGACTGCCAAATTTGGACTCAAATAGGACACCTCTCGGACCCGGGGGCATAGTCAGCCCTACCTCCTTACTCCAAATACATATTCTCCAAGGGTACATTTTGAAAAGCTTGGGCTTTCCATGGCAAATACCTGCTTAGCCTGCTTCTTCAAGTCAGGGCCGACAACATATCCCGACACAAAGTGGGTATTGGGTGTATCCCCGATTCGCGCCTGTTCAATCGTGGCGAGTAAGGGTTCGTCTGCCTGGAACACTGCAGTCTGCCTCCGGAAAACCGGCCAGTGCCTCGGCAATGGCACTCATCTGGTCAAACAAAACGTGCGCTTTCAAGAGGACACCGCGCAATTGGCGAGTCCCCCGGTTTTACTGGACATTTGGTGAGTTTTTGCGGATACTCGCAGAGCAACTTCTACACCTTGCTGGATCACATCACCTCATCCACAGGCAACTCACTGTAAAGGGGAGCCACTTTGGTGATATTCAAGGCAACCACGAGGAATGCCAAGGAATGCTACGTGTGTGTTTCTATAGATTCAAGGGTTACCGGCTTGGGGCCCAAAAGGAAACAACAAACCGTCCAAGTGCGCTGCTCGCACATTTTCACGCTTGAACAGCCACACTGCGGATGCAACGGATGTAAAACCCCATATTGACCGATCAAATTCTTCACCCCCCTCTGCGTGTTAAAGGGGCCTTTCACAAAGCAGCCAAACAGTAACACAACAGAGGGAGAAGGTCAGGGGAACCATTGCTCACATGCAAACCATGACGGTTGCGCTTTTAGCGCCACCGCCAAGATGAGTAGCTTCCGCTACTGTCACCCCATCCGCTCCATTCGGACCAATTCTGCCAGCTGCCGCGGCTCCAATGCTCACCCTCGCGGGCGGCGGGAGCACTCGTCTCAGCATAGCGGGCTGCATTGCGAGCAAGGTGCTTGCTGCTCTCGTTCCTCGAAAATTCAATCGAGTTACGTGCATACCGCTCATTCTGGCCGAAAATCCAGTCCATCTCGTTGCGGAGGTCGTCCAACGTGTTGCCTCGCAAATGAATGATCCCGTTCCAACAACCAATGCTGCGGGGCCTATTCTGCTCTATCACCACGTTGACGAAAGCTCTCGGGCTGTAAGGCATCCCTTGGAACATCACGATCCAGCGAGAGGACAACGCCTTGCAACTCGTTGGGCAGGAATTCCAAATCTGTCTTGATATACGCGAGCCTTGCGATTCGCGACTCCGAAGTTGATCCCAGGCCAACTCCCAGAGTGCGCTGGGCCTGCGACTGCTTTGGAGCAGCCAAGACGAGATTTGCGCTCAGCTCCATGCGGAGCATATCCGCCTCCCGACGGCCCACCTCAAGCATACGAACCCTGTACTGAAGATCGAGTTCGTAGCGGTCAAGCAGAGAGTGGTAGCCGTTCTTCAGGGCGGACTTGAGCTTCTTCCGTGCCTCCTGAATAACAGCACTGTCCGGGGAGTTCAAGCCACGAATGATGCTGTTACGGTCCTCCTCGCGAAGGTCGAATGTTCCCACAGATGCAAGGACCTGAGATGTGACGTGGGTGCTGAGGCCCATCTTCTTCAACAGGTTGGAACGCTGCATGATGTAATTCTTTTGCTGCTCTTTCAACAGGCGTGGATTGAGGGGAGACAACTGCCCACATGATGAGCAGTGCACCTGCCCCTCGAAGACACTGTTGTTGCAAACCGGGCACGTGGCGACATTCAGCTCAACGTTCTCCATTGGGTTGAAAGTCTTCTGCCTCTTCGCTTCCCCTTGCGGGGCGCGAGGAGAGGCCACGTTTGTGCGCGTCGTAGCAATACGTTCCAGCGCCGTTGAACGATCATCAACCACAGCTTGGTCGCGCTTCATCCCCTGGGGTTCATCTTCAGTCGCCTCAGCTGGTGCAACTGCATCCGATTGCTCGGAGCGAGTGTACCATACATCGCCATTTGTAGCGTCCAATACCGAAATAATCGTGTAGTTGGGCACCTTGTCGCGCGTGAGGACGCCATCGTTCTCCGTCTTGAAAAAGCAAATCCCTGCGCGAATGGCCATTCTGAGGTCGATCTGTATCTCCAGGGGTTTGTTCGCACGTACACCTGATATGTAATGTTCATTCGTGCTGGGGACGTCGGCGAAGAAGACGTGAGGCCGGCCTGTTTCATGCTGATATCCGCCGCCTGGCAATAGTCCGTTCCGCATGATATTAGCGAAATTCGGAGACAACTGCCCACATGATGAGCAGTGCACCTGCCCCTCGAAGACACTGTTGTTGCAAACCGGGCACGTGGCGACATTCAGCTCAACGTTCTCCATTGGGTTGAAAGTCTTCTGCCTCTTCGCTTCCCCTTGCGGGGCGCGAGGAGAGGCCACGTTTGTGCGCGTCGTAGCAATACGTTCCAGCGCCGTTGAACGATCATCAACCACAGCTTGGTCGCGCTTCATCCCCTGGGGTTCATCTTCAGTCGCCTCAGCTGGTGCAACTGCATCCGATTGCTCGGAGCGAGTGTACCACACATCGCCATTTGTAGCGTCCAATACCGAAATAATCGTGTAGTTGGGCACCTTGTCGCGCGTGAGGACGCCATCGTTCTCCGTCTTGAAAAAGCAAATCCCTGCGCGAATGGCCATTCTGAGGTCGATCTGTATCTCCAGGGGTTTGTTCGCACGTACACCTGATATGTAATGTTCATTCGTGCTGGGGACGTCGGCGAAGAAGACGTGAGGCCGGCCTGTTTCATGCTGATATCCGCCGCCTGGCAATAGTCCGTTCCGCATGATATTAGCGAAATTCCGCTTATCAGTGCGGTGATAAAGCACAGTTGGAGGATTGCTGCAAACATTCCAGCCGGACCAGCGCCCGAGGTCAGTCCCCGGGTTCACGTACCACTCCTTCGCGATGCCGGAGTCGTCGATCTGGAGCCAGTCCTCATGGCCTTGAGAGGCCTTCAGCTTGAAAAGCCAATGAGAACATGGGACGTCTCCGCACCGGCTTGCGTCCGGGCAACCAAGGCCAATGAACCTCTGCTTCTTGTCCAGCTTGAAGATATCCATGATGTTCTGAATATTCCATGGAATGGGATGTCGCAGCTCCTTGCGAAGCGCGAGTCCCACAGGTCTTCGAGGTCCATGTAGCCGTCCTCATCCATCACATACCCGCATCCTTCTGTTCCACGACCACGAAGGATCTTGGAGATGCATGTCAGGGAACGGTGGTATTCATCACTGATTCTCCTGACGGAAGGGTCGTAATCGAAAGAGGGCTGCTTGATGATGTCGAGTCTCTTGGGGCCCTCGCCGTAGTCGACATACTTCACGCCATCATGAACGCTATACACCCAGCAGTCATAATGGCCCCCAGTCACGCTCCTCCCGTAGGAGTCGAGTGGTACCGGCCTGCTCACCTCCTCGTCCCTCTTTGCCACCGCAGCCGTCTTTGCACCGGCTTGCGCCGGGCGAACACTTTCGGAAACATCTGCACCGGAAGGCTCGCCTGAAGTTGCAAACTCGGCTGGGTTGACGGGGGCGAAATCGAGAGGCTGCCGGACTTCCACTTCTTCACGGGTGAAAGGGAGCCCGATCATCTCTGACAAAGAAACACCGCACTTCGTTAGCGTCTCCTTGCAGTACGCGAGAACCTACTGTGCAATCTTCTTGGTGGCGCAGCTCGAGCACATCGATCGGACGCACGGTACAGTCGTGCGAACGTGTCAGCTCGGCTACGCCGCCCATCGCGGGGCGCAAGATGGAAAGCATATACAACATGTGATGGGTTCCGCGCATGAACTGGACAGTCTTCGTGATGTTGTCGTCACTGAAGCACATATGATACCTGTCCAGCAAATCGATGGTCTCGACAAAGGGTGTAGCATCTACGTACACGCATATGATTGGGGTCGCCGATGATAAAGTCCCGGACTTCCGTCATGTAACGGTCCCAAATCATAGAGAAGCCGTAGAGATAGCTTTTCGCGCCGGTCATGACACCAAGGCATGCGCAGCCCTTGCGGGCCGCGAAATCCCTGGTCCAAGCAAGGTGCCTCTTGGTGTCTGCCAGCAACTGACTGGCTTCGCCGGCGGGGTGGTCGAACGGGTAGGTGCCGCTGGGCTCAATGCCGTCCTTCCCAACAAGCTCATTGCCGTTCCAATAGATCATAGGAACGATGGTCGCCGTCGGGTAGTCCGTACGCACCTCGTCGATAAGGGCGGCCATGCGCCTGCAAAGCTGCTGCAGGCCTTTACCCCAAAGCATTTCTGCCCTCCATGCACCGACACGCGCCGGGCGAGAAGCATCCAAGCGTTCTGCAAAATCATATTTGCGGAGCTTCTTCTTCTTGCCCGAAACCATTGACAGTCCTGAGTCAGCGACAGTCAAATAGATAAGGAGGTCGCGATCTGGTACACGAGGAGCCTGCACAACCTTCAAGTAAGGTTCGCTAATAGTTAACAGGGGTGTAAGCAACTGCAAATAATGCGGTTGGTCCTGCACCCATGTGTGGATAAGCGACTGTGCAGAGGTCGTCTCCAGGAGGCCCTTGACCGTAGCGGCGAGGTTAGCGTCGTACTTGCCGTTCGTGCATACCGATGTGGTAGCAACATTCTCCATCCACTGCCTCCATGCCGGATCGCAATCCCTCGCGGGATGCGCCATAGCCGTTGGGCCGCTCATTGCGAAAACGATGCAGCACAATTACTCGAAAGCAACGGCTGCAAGGTGGCATGTTCGGAAAATGCATTGTGAACGGCATCAGTGTAAATGTACGTGTGTCCCTCGGCTTCCTTCAAGTGGGTGCCACGGCTTTCATCATGCTCGTGGGAACCATCACATTTGAAGTACTCAACAACGGAAATAGTGGGCATATTACTGGCAACGACCCATTGCTTTTTCATTGGTTTTCCATTTCTCCCCTTTATGCCGATTTTACAACCATGGAATTCGTACTTGTTCATCTTGTACTTAGTTAAGAAACTCCATAGTTCAGGCCATTTCCAATAACGACACGCATTAGGGAGTTCGAAGGCAACTCTAATGTCATTTGAATAAACATCATTGAGAATGCGTTTGAACCCTCTCAACAGTGATCGAAATTGCTTGATGTGGCCCTCAATCTTGGCAGCACCTTTGGGAGTTTGCTGGCTGACATAACCCCACGGGCAACCTCCAGTGCATGGCAACGAGACGTAGAACATGATTGCGCCCTTAGGATTCTTGCTCCTGAATTCGGCGATTTCACGGCTCAACCAGTGCCTGCACGTATCGGAGCACCCGTTTTCGGTTTCCGTT